CCATTCCTAAATTTGGAATATTGGCTGAGCGTTAGTTTGAACATGGCGGCCCAATTCAAATGAAAGTTGTTTTTGTATCGCGTAATTCTACATGAAAATGGTGTTGGATTTTTATAAATTTGTGTTGGATGTGACAAGAAATGATTCCTTTTGGCGACCAAAGAAGATATAAAAATAAAATAAAACCAACTACGAACAATCCAAACCATTAGACAAAATTCGAAGTCCTAAAAAAATAGTGTAATAAAGCAAAATAGTGTAATCAGCATATGGACTGTTCACAGTGTACAAAATACACGACAAACAGTGGTAACAGGTGTCCGGAAGAGTAAGCTTACCCAGCTTGGCGAGGGTTAGGGTAAAAATAGACGGTAAGGGTTCCAAAATAGCCTTAGAACCGAGATGGGGAAAAGCCTTATTTTCATACTAGTTGTCATTAGCAGCTGACAGTATCGTAGTAGAAGGCAGAGTCGATACAATTTACGTTACTAAAGTAACTAAGTCGGTATGGGATCGGATTCGTAAGATTAAAGGTAAAGGTAGACAAGTACTGAAGTAGTGCATTATCAGTTAACCATCTAAATGTTGATAATCCCACCTTAACAACATTTTCTAATATTCCTAATTCTCTGCACTGGCGACTGGCCAGTACATTGTCATTCCATTCACCATCCAATTTCTCCTTTGAAGCCTTTACAGGCATTAAACATTAATAGGAGATTAGCCGACTTAATTTCAAGTCCCAAAATGATAATGATGAATGTTATAATGATAATGTTTCCATTACAGAGGTCCGTGATTCGTTAAAGCGAGCTCGCAATTCACTACCGATTTTATAAGGTTTTGTAAAGTTCGGGTAACGAGCTCAATAACGAATAAAGAGCTGTTATGAACAAATTATTAATGTTTTTTAAAAAAAGGGTATATATTATTTTTTTTTTCTGTTAATATAACGAAGGTTTAAATCACAATGTACGAATTCAAACATGTAACATTCAAGTTATAAATAAAATGAAATGTCCTGCTTTCCTGCACCATGCAGTGTGCAATGTGGAACAGTTTTGCCCGGGAAGCCACGGTACGGCCTATTCTTATTCATAATTCAAACTGTCCGTATGAAGGCCTACTATTCGGGATCCCTGCATTGGCCAAGAAAGTTCATCCAGATTTTCCGGCGTGGTTCTCCCTTGTCAGGAAAGCTGTCTAGTCGTTCGGATGGGACGAAAAACCGAGGTCCCGTGTACACATTGGCGTGCACGTAAAAGATAGCTTGGCAGTAGGAATTCGATATAAGAGTAGGCCGTAGTGCCGCTGTTCGGGCAAAATTTCCCTCATAGTACACTGTATGGCGTATGCCCGTCTTCATTAGCCCAGGTTAGGAGCAGAAAAGTAGGACGTTAAACTCCATTTCATTTCATTTCATTTCATTTTGCCTTCTATTCGGGACTTGTCAACACGGACACATCAACATGTACTTTGGACCTGCACCACTGAGAATCACGCTAGGACATCTCAGGGGAAGTAACTCGGCCAACACCGGGAACGAACCATAGACGTTCTGGTTAGTGAGCCAGCGGTTAACCCACTGAGTCATCGAGTTCAAGAATCAAAAAAACAAAACATAAATTAGAATTGTCTCATAAATGTTGGATAATAAACACATATTAAATAATGTTCTTTGTACAACTGCTCACGATTTAAGGGGAAAACATGCAGGTTTAACAAAAACTCGGCTATTTTGTTTTTATGGCAGCCATCAATCAAACGTCACCCATGTTTATACATGCTAGTAAAATTCATTGCCGGTTTTAATTTTGTTACGTCATTTTAATGTCACCCTGACACTGGCACGACTTTTGTCACCTCAGTGCCTCGCAATGCGTCGTGACAAGGCGTGCCAAGTTGGTGGTAGCTGTGTTGTACACACATAAGTTCGTTACGCACTGTCTACGCAAAAATGGGCCGGATTGGTAAGCATTGAAACACGATGGCACTACGCATAGATTCCCATGGCACGCACTATCACGCATTGATACGCACCGTCGGTAGTGTTAAAGATGGGTTCCCAGAAAAGTATTTATCGGGTGGTTATTTCCAATAAAAGTATGGTAATTTTGGTATATATGGAAAGTAGAGATATCCAATCGTACTAGAAAAATACTGGATTCCCCGAAAAACACTCATGGATCGTATACAGGACAAAAATGTAAGGGTTCCCCTAATCAACAGCCCGACGATTGGGAATTTCTGCACGCGTGATGTCAAAGGTCACACGCGAACATTGAGCGCTTGATGTACAAGTTGATAAACTTTATGAAGAGTTAGACGTACAACACTTTCTGAGATAAAAATGACGGAAAAAGACGCGGGTAGTGGATAATCCGAGAATTTAATTAGGATTCGATATTTGTAATAAATAGTAAGCGATTAAAGACAACATCGTCTTATGTATGCAATGAATTCTCCTCTGACTCCCAAGACGTGACGTAAACATGGCCTGGTTTGATCGAATTTTTATAGCAGGACATTCCTTCGCAATTACAGTGTTTGAGAAGGATTTGAAGCAGAGTTATGACAAATTAATTAGTTTGAATATGGTTTTAGTCCATATATATCATTAAATCACCCAGTTTGTACGCGGGAACCCATCTTTTAAGTATTTACAACAATATAAACGGGTTTTAAGCAACAGTCAGCGTCACCTATATTCCAAGGTAAAATATTTTGATTCACCACTGTTCAATAAGATCGAATCAATTGAGTACAGCTTAGTTTGGCCGTTTGAAACTAAATGGTGATCTTGATTGGTCTGGAATCGTTAATATACAGGCAAGTCATGTAGTGCGATTCCGTACTATTTATATAATTATTTCCTATAAAACACATGTTGGTTTTATTTTGCTCTGGAATCTGTTGGGTTAGGGATCTTCCATACTGTCAACTTCAGCTCCAGCAACATGTACAAAACTCTCCTACATAGCTGCAATTTACAGCCGTTATAATTCTTATCTACGGCTACAATTGATACACTATTCGAGGCTTTGAGCAAGTAAAATTAGGTTCAATTGCAAAATTTTCAACACATATCATCACAATTTGCATGGAAATAAGTAATTATGTTACAAATAGTGAAGAGTGGAACACTGAAATCATAATCTTATCTTACCAAACAGGTTTTTTTTCTGTATTTTCAAGTGACATGACACACGTGATTCTGGTTTGGCGGCCATTTTAAAATGAACATAAATTTTGCATAGCAGTTGGGTTTAATCAAATCATATAATCATAGGGTAGGGTTTTACCTTTATTTCAATGGGAACTGGTTTATATGTTAAGCTACGAACAGAACAGTTTGGGGTTAGTGTAATTGGAAATTAAGGCCGTTATAGGCCAGTAACTTTTTTGTAGTCAAATGACTACAGAATCTGCTTAAAGGAAGGCCTTACTGTCCACTACTGTGGCTGGAGTAAGATGGTAGACACCATGCAGTCATCAGTAGTGGAACCATTTCTAACCGAGACTGTGACCGGTTGTGTAAATGGTATCGCTCTTAAATATATTCCCTACCGTATTGTCTTCTACACCGTGTCAAAGCATCTACTTTTAAAAACTCGTTTTATTAATTTGCTAAATTGAGGTGATTTATACTCTGGGATGTGGATGGGAATAGTAGATAATAGTAGATAATGCCTGTAAACAATATTTTATTTCAAATTTATGAAAAGGGATCAGGGAACAGGCATAGCCAATACAAGGATTACAAAACATATAATATACAGATCTTTTATATACATACATTAATTTATTGGTGAAAATAAGTTATATACACACTATTTATAGTAAATTTAAAAAGAGGAAGTGATGTTTATAACCTGATTAAAAATGTTCTATAAATAAAATCAGATTTTAAAGAGTCTAAATATAAAAGATATTCTGAGCCAAAATAATTATTTCTATATCGATTGCTTTTAAACAGGTTGTCAAATCAATATTATACATTCATAGAACTGATTCCAGCACTTAAAAAAAACATTCATATAAAAATTCTAGATTCTTTTCACTTGAAAACTACGTCCACATAATGGTTGTGGGGAAACCCGTGAGATTTGTCTCGATTGTCAAGGTCTGTGGGGTAAATAGATAAGGAAAATGTTGCCTGGTTGACCGAGCCAACCCGCACACGTCATATTGTTCTAATATCACCGCCCCATAGAAATATTCTTTAACAAGGTATTCTTTAACTGTGTATAGATTCCACGTGTTTTATTTCTTTATTTTGACATACTTTAAAGAGATGACTATCACTTTAATAAAATATATATTTTAGCCCTGCTTTAATATAATATATATTTGTAGCTCTGCTTTAATATAATATATATTTGTAGCCCTGCCTTCTTGATATGACTTTTATTTTGTCGTTCTGGTTTTAATACCGGATATTGATGTCGCTGTGGCGTCCGTGAATCTAATTTAATATTATTTTATAACTCTGCCTTTTAATATGAGATATATATTGTTTTAATATGAGATATATTTTATTTTCATATGAGATATTAAATGAAATATTGTTTGTCGTTTTGCTTTTAACAAGAGACATTACATACTTAATTTTGGATAAGTATGTCGTTCTGATTCGAATATTAGATATTTTTGTCGCAGCGATATTAATTTTATATATTTATGTCGTTCTGATTTAACGAAAGGGTTGTTTCTGTGATCTTGCAAGACTGATTGGTCTAACGCATGCGCTGTAGAATGAAAGATCTCTTAACACGAAACCATAAATGTTTTACGATATGACTATTTCTGTTGCCACAGAGACTTAATTTCGGGGTTTTTATTTTGACACATTGAAGTTATGGAGAGATCTCAACAGATTCATTGTTTTAAAGAGACAAATAAAAATTGAATTATCTCATATCTGTCATTTTCCTATTTCAAATGTTTAAAAAAGATCTTTTCATTCGCTTTAATAGTTCATGTTACATGATTTCGTGACTCGTGAGTTCGTTAGAACAGAGAACAGTCATCATTGAAGTCGACGAACCACAAGGGACAACAGTGTCGTTGAAGGAAGTCGGCGAATTCACTTTGAGTGGAGGCGGACATTATACACAGGGTAAGTGAATACTGGCGATTGGGGTATAGACTTGTTGCATTAAGGACACCTGAAATGGCGGGGGGGGGGGGGGGTCCTCAAAAATAATTCACATTTTTAGGGTCTGTATTTTGGTATCTAAATGTGCATGAGATGATACTGAACAATAAAAAGATGGATGAAAATCAAAAATAATGAATTTGGAATTTTTAACTTTGAACAATACGAAGCAAATATACCATTCAGCACTGCGCAGCTAATGGGTAAACAACACAACATGGGAAATCACAAAATCTCACACGGATGCCTGAATATATACACTACAACCATCAAGACTTCAAATTTTGAACACAATCTATGTTTTAGCACACCAAGTCCATATAATCAAATCTTTTTGTATGGAGTACCATCATAAACATCACCCGGAAGAAATATTTCGGGTTTATATGGAAAATAATAAATACTGCGATTTTTATGGTTTTGTCTGTAGGTGTAACCGCGATTTGGCAAGAAAGTGATGAAACTGAAATTTTCGTTTACATGATAAGACGCGGATGTACGATTTAAAGGGGTACTGACAGATTATGAGTAATAGAGTTTATTTTGGACTTCTGTATCCAAGGGCCACTATTCTGTGCTGGAAAATAATGTTCAACCTTGTTGGTGTCTCGAGACTAGTTTGCAACAAGATGGTGTCACTTTACCTTGCCCTTAATGTGTTCGCTATCACACAATGATCGGTTTAAAACCTGAACAGATTCATGAAATAAACCCAGAAGAGGCGGGTTAACTAGGGGTGTGGTTAGGGAAGTGGGCGGCGCCGATAGACACGTACTAACAATAGGTACATCGAAATATAGAGAAAGAATTGCGGAATTGTAAAAAGGACATTTATAGAAGTGTCATCAATAGGCTGATACGATTCTGTGTATTCCCGGTACGGCCTATAAATAGTGGTTCAAAATTATATATGATATATACTCTTCAAAACAGAATTCAGAAACAATACAAAACTGCGGAAATGCACTGCTGTTTTATTAGAGGTAACCAGTGTATGTTAATAACAGTCCAATTGCCTACACATGAACATAAACAGTTCATATAGGCGGCTTATCTGGAGGCCCCATTTCACTCGCAAAGAGATACACTGTCAAAGGTGAAAATGGACGTTTTTGATTTTTGTCTTAAAGGACAATATTGGTGCCAGTCATTATCACATATGTGATAGAACTAATTAAACACGTTCCAAATATAATTCTAACTCAGAGATCATTGCTACGATAGCTGAGTTATACAGGATTCCTGAATCGGAAGTGACGAACGCCAAAGGAAAACACGAGACATACCTCTATATAACTGGCTGAAGTGCCGACTGATAACAGATACATGGGCGAATTTCTGCTCACTAATAGTTCCTTCGAAGACTAAAAGTTGTTGTGTGAGACTGTGAGAGGATATCTAACAATTTATAAAAAGAATTGAATGCCAGTGGATAAGAGAACACGAAAGAAAAACAGAAAAAAAGTCCGTGCATTACCATGTTTTTATAAGGTAGGGGAAAGCGGGGTTAGTCCGACCCCATTCATATCTCGCGCCCACTCGGCCAAACCTCAGCAGAATCCAGTACACTACATCTAGCCTCGGCTGTATGACGAAGTCCGCCATTGGGACTACTTTCAAGTTCCGGATTACCAACGCCGTTGCCCATGACGACGCATTTAAAGAATGGTTTACCATACAAAGATTTCAAAGTCTGAAGCTGTTTTTCTTTCAAGTTTGTCCTATTTCCTTTAGACGCGGACCAGTTTGAATTGAAAAGTCTACATACGCTTCGAACGACGCAGTTTTGAGAACTTCTTTCTAAAAGCGGCAAGTTTTCCTAATAATACCCCCGTCAGACCGGGGTAGCGTCCTTACTTCGCTGCTACGGCGATGGAAAATAGTTTTAGAGCGCGTTAAGATCGCCATAAGCGTAGTGGAAACGCCAGCTATCGTGCTGTAGTCACCATGATCGCAGAGTCACCGCGTTTATTTTGAGCATGTTCAAAGCAAACGCCAAGGTTCTGCGATCTGAACTGTAAAACGACTTTTTTTCAATTTTGTAGTTTTTGGGGACATTTTCGCCCGTTGTGTTCACGTTTGCCGGCGACCTTGTGCATTTTCTGGTCGCCGTACGGTCGCAGCAGCACAGTAAGGACGCCACCCCGGTCTGACGGGGGCATAAGTAAACCGGTGCCGCATCGCAATTGTATAGGCGTAGGTACATATCACTTACTGTCCTACAGCCGAGGCTTGATGTTCGCCCATTCGGACATGGTGACTTTGAGATGAAATTACTTGTATACGCCTGTCAATAAAACTATTTAATGTATGCCGTAAATTAGCCAACTCCACTGTCTTTAATCTAGTATGGTCTGCGACAGTGGTTCTCAACCTTTTTGTGCCAACGGCACACCTTGAAACACATGAAAAAACAGCGACACACCCGACTTAATATATATGAAAAATATTTGATTTTTTTGCAAAATAAAAAACATGGCAAATCATAGACGGCATACAACTGTAGCCACAGACTAGTCATAGACACACAGTATGGCACACCTGTGTGCCGCGGCACACTGGTTGGGAATCACTGGTCTACGGTAACGTAGCTTCAAAAGTTATCGAGATATGTTGGTTTCATTAAAAATGGTGCGAACTAGCGCCGCTCTCCCCTATAGAATGAATATAAACAAGGGAATGTACGGACTATTTCTATTTTTCTCGTGTTCTCTTATCAAATGACATTCAATTACTGTATTGAATTGTCAGCTATCCTCTTACAGTCCCATATAACAACTTTTGGTCTTCGAAGGAATTATTAGTGAGCAGAAATTCGCCCATGTATCTGTTATCAGTCGGCACTTCAGCCAGTTATATAGAGGTATGTCCCGTGTTTTCCTTTGGCGTTCGTCACTTCCGATTCGTGAATCCTGTATTACTCAGCTATCGTAGCAGTGATCTCTCTGTTAAAATTATATTTGGAATGTGTTTAACCAGTTCTATCACATATGTGATAATGACTGGCACCAATATTGTCCTTTATTAATAAGTAATTGCTCCACCAATCCTCAGACATTCAGCAATTCATCGTGGCATGCTCCTAATAAACCGTCCAATCACGATTTGGGTCAATCTGACCCACTCCTCTTGCAGTGCTACGGCCAATTCTTGCAGTATTGTCCGTTGACGTTGACGTCGACGAACACGTCTCCCGATCATGTCCCAGACATGCTCTATAGGGGAAAGGTCAGGACTCATGGCTGGCCAAGGCATATGGACAATATGGTGAAGCTGGAGGTGGTAGTCATTCACGACACGAGCGCGGTGGACACGGGGATTATCATCTTAAAAGATGAAACGTCGACCTGCACGTTAACGTTAGCATGACGCTCATTTACACGCCTCCAAACGCGAGCACGCCTATCGGTGAAATCCAGAGTAAATCTGGACTCATCTGAGAACATTACACGCGCCCATCGAACGATTACCCTAATTTCTACGCTGCCTACACCATTGACGCCTGTTTGCCATGTGTTGGTGAGTTAATGGAGGCACAACACGCGGTCGTCGTTTTGGGTGTAACTCGAATTTCTGTAACTCGGTACAAGTTTATAGGAAGCTGATTGGCCGTTTGTCCTCGATTTCGCTGGACCTGTGTACGAATGTATCGATCCTGGGCTGGTGCAGTTTCTCTAGGACGACCTGAACGAGGTCTATCATCAACATTGTGTGTTTGTTGGTACCGGTTCCACAGTCTGCTGAACACATTACGCATGTTGGCTACTGCTCGCTGTGTAGAACCCATTAAAGCATGCCAATAGCACGTAGACGTTCATCACGTTGAAGACGTCTCATTGCAAATTAAATGTAACACACTAAAGCAAAGATGCGCTAAACGGTAAATCTTATGCAAGAACCGATAGGAAAGCAAACATGGATAGGATAAACCCGCACTCGGCAGTTTTCATCAACCTTTCCTTGAAGTGTCAAATTTGACAATGAACCCCTCCCACGTGTATGGCGCTTTTGCGTGTCGCACGTGCAGCAAAGTGGTTCTGTTGGGGCGATAAGTTCTTCATCTGTGAACATACTCTCAAAGCATGTCAAGTGTCCATGACTTTTTTTGAAAAGTATATATCCCTATTTTGGTCCCCGCCCAAATGATATAGGTCTAGATTATTACAGACAGGTAGATAGAAGGAAATAAAATCGAATGGTGCAACGCGTCCGCTTAAGATCATAACTTCTTTCAATGACGTGGTTTTCAATCCATCTTGCTGAACCTTTCACAAATAGACTATTTGACATCTGAATATTTCCTGATCATGTAAATACATATTGGATTCCTTCAAAAAATAAATGAGCCTTTACACAAACAAAATGTATGATCTGCTGAAAAAGGTATACCAAAACTTTTGTAAATAGTTTAAGTGAATATACACTGAACATCTATTGTCTTTATAACCCCTTTATTTTAGAGCTGTCGAGAAGGGAGAAGGACGATATGGGAATGTATTAATATATAACCAGCGAACAACAAGGGATCCCGACAGGACTTCGTGTACAAGGCGAAGACAATGCAAAGTTTTAAACAGAGTAAGAACCCTTAACGGGAAATATACTGTAAATAGCACGATATCGCATTATGGTTTCTTAAATGCTTTCTCTGTTTTATTGTTTTAGTTGATGATGGGAGAACTGTGTGTATATCTCCTGGTGTGGCTGTACCTGATACCCATCACTCAATCATCAATATCTACTGGTGATGATGCCACTGGTCAGTTAGCTTTGGACACTTTGGTCAAAACAGCGGCGACAAAACCTGTAAAATCAGTCTTCAGTAAATCAGACTTTCTACCCAGAAATTTGGTTTCGGATCCTAACTACACCCCAAAAGACCCACGATCTTCTGTTTATGGGGCCGTCCGAGATGACACACGACGTTCCGACCCATCTACAGCTAAACGCGATCCTACCAGACCTTCACGAGATCCAGCGCTTCATAACAGTATTGATATTACTGGCCTGTCCGTAACAACGTCTCGCAAACTACGAGACTCAACTCCAATTGTTTCTAACCTTGATAGATCGCGAGAACCAAGCCGCGCTACCCTAGATCCTGCTCGATCGCGACAACCAAGCCGCGCTACCCGTGACGATGCTCGTTCGCGGGATCCAATGCGAGCTACCACCGACCCTTTTCGTTCTCGAGAACCAACCAGATATCCTGCTCGTTCGCGAGAACCAAGTCGAGCTACACGAGATCCTGCTCGTTTGCGAGAACCAAGCCGAGCTACCCTAGATCCTGCTCAATCGCGACAACCAAGCCGCGCTACCCGTGACGATGTTCGTTCGCGAGAACCAAGCCGCACTACCCGAGATCCTGCTCGTTCGCGAGAACCAAGCCGAGCTACCCTAGATCCTGCTCAATCGCGACAACCAAGCCGCGCTACCCGTGACGATGTTCGTTCGCGAGAACCAAGCCGCGCTACCCGAGATCCTGCTCGTTCGCGACAACCAAGCCGCAATACCCGAGATCCTGCTCGTTCGCGAGAACCAAGCCGAGCTACCCTAGATCCTGCTCAATCGCGACAACCAAGCCGCGCTACCCGTGACGATGTTCGTTCGCGAGAACCAAGCCGCGCTTCCCGAGATCCTGCTCGTTCGCGAGAACCAAGCCGCAATACCCAAGATCCTGCTCGTTCGCGAGAACCAAGCCGAGCTACCCTAGATCCTGCTCAATCGCGACAACCAAGCCGCGCTACCCGTGACGATGTTCGTTCGCGAGAACCAAGCCGCGCTACCCGAGATCCTGCTCGTTCGCGAGAACCAAGCCGCAATACCCAAGATCCTGCTCGTTCGCGAGAACCAAGCCGAGCTACCCTAGATCCTGCTCAATCGCGACAACCAAGCCGCGCTACCCGTGACGATGTTCGTTCGCGAGAACCAAGCCGCGCTACCCGAGATCCTGCTCGTTCGCGACAACCAAGCCGCACTACCCGAGATCCTGCTCGTTCGCGAGACCCCGCTCGAACACAAAACCCATTCCAAACTTCCCGTGACCCTGCCCGTCGACGAGACCCAATTCGAACTGCTGGAGCTACCCGTGACGATGCTCGTTCAAGACAAACAATCCGGGAACCAACCCGATCTACCACCGACCCTGCTCGTTCCCGAGAACCAACCCGAGCTACCACCGACCCTGCTCGTTCGCGAGCTACCAATGATCCAGTTCGCTCCCGAGACCCAACCCGAGCAACATATGATCCTGCTCGTTTCCGAGAACCTACCCGATCTACCACCGACCCTGCTCGCTCCCGAGAACCAACCCGAGCTACCACCGACCCTGCTCGTTCGCGAGCTACCAATGATCCAGTTCGCTCCCTAGACCCAACCCGAGCAACATATGATCCTGCTCGTTTCCGAGAACCGACCCGATCTACCACCGACCCTGCTCGTTCTCGAGAACCAACCCGAGCTACCACCGACCCTGCTCGTTCGCGAGCTACCAATGATCCAGTTAGCTCCCGAGACCCAACCCGAGCAACATATGATCCTGCTCGTTTCCGAGAACCGACCCGATCTACCACCGACCCTGCTCGTTCTCGAGAACCAACCCGAGCTACCACCGACCCTGCTCGTTCGCGAGCTACCAATGATCCAGTTCGCTCCCGAGACCCAACCCGAGCAACATATGATCCTACTCGTTACCGAGAACCGACCCGATCTACCCCCGACCCTGCTCGTTCGCGAGAACCATTCCGAGCTACCAATGATCCAGTTCGCTCCCGAGAACCAACCCGGGCTACCACCGACCCTGCTCGTTCGCAAGCTACCAATGATCCAGTTCGCTCCCGAGACCCAACCCGAGCAACATATGATCCTGTTCGTTTCCGAGAACCGACCAGAGCTACCAGCGATCCTGCTCGTTCGCGAGAACCAGTTCGAGCTACCAATGATCCAGTTCGCTCCCGAGACCCAACCCGAGCAACATATGATCCTGTTCATTTCCGAGAACCGACCAGAGCTACCAGCGATCCTGCTCGTTCACGAGAACCAGACCGAGCCAACCGTGACCCCACTCGTCGGCAAGAACCAATTAGAGCTACCCCTGATCCTGTTAGACGTCCTAACATAACGGAGCTGTTAACCATTGCTAGAAGCAACCCGAATGACAAATCTAATATAGTTAACCTGGTAAATCAAGTTCTTCCAAAAAGGTCGTTCTCGGAGCCATTACCTCGTCTGTCAACAGAATCACGACGGCCATTACTATGCTATGCTGGTGAAGATTCGTGTTTCTCGTACTACAGACGATCAACAGTAGGTGAGTATAGATCTTAGGCAAAACTTTGATGTCTCAATCTGCGTACAAATCGTTTTCCCGCCTGAAGGGATATTTGGCCAATAACATCATTGTTGTCATCAGTGGTTTAATTAAATCAGCCGCTTCCAATCGATGTGGATGCGGACGTAAATATTGGATACACCAACTAACTAGACATTTTTATTTTATATTTCAAAGCCAAGTAGTGGGCGATAAAACTGACAATATTTCATTGGATAATTTAAATAGCGAGTATCGCATCTATGAAATAGTGATACGTATGTAAACTATAGCAGTCCGTGATTGATACCGCCCACCCAATCCGTGATTAATTCCGCCTACCCAGTCCGTTATTGATACCGCCCCACCCAGTCCGTGATTGATTCCGCCCCACCCAGTCCGTTATTGATACCGCCCCACCCAGTCCGTGATTGAAACCGCCCACCCAGTCCGTTATTGATACCGCCCCACCCAGTCCGTGATTGAAACCGCCCCACCGTGATTGATACCGCCCACCCAATCCGTGATTAATTCCGCCCACCCAGTCCGTTATTGATACCGCCCCACCCAGTCCGTTATTGATACCGCCCCACCCAGTCCGTGATTAAAACCGCCCACCCAGTCCGTTATTGATACCGCCCCACCCAGTCCGTGATTGAAACCGCCCCACCCAGTCCGTGATTGATTCCGCCCCACCCAGTCCGTGATTGAAACCGCCCCACCCAGTCCGTTATTGATACCGCCCCACCCAATCCGTGATTGATTCCGCCCCACCCAGTCCATGATTGAAACCGCCCCACCCAGTCCGTGATTGAAACCGCCCCACCCAGTCCGTGATTGAAACCGCCCCACCCCCTTTGCCATGTTTTTAACTATATTAATTTTGCTCCAGTATCATCATAATGGCTAAGTATTATAACGCATCGCGGCATAAATTGCCCCACGTGTAGACGAAGTATTTCCCGTGGGATTATTAATAAATTAATTAATATTCAAAAGACTGGTAACCAGTTTACCTACCATTAGTACTGATCAGTAGGGTAGATGACCCCGGACAGAAATTAACCTAAAGGTATGGAGAGAGTCTTGTGATTTTGCTCTGGCTAATGGGAATTGATTCAAACCGCTCAGACGATATCCACGAACAGCTCAGCCATTCACATACGTTATTATTTCAGGACCATCTTGTTGGTATGCAATTGATGAACCTAATAACAGATGCTGTGATGAGGATGGGTCTTTCCAGTCTCCTATCAATCTGCCTTCATTTGATTCCGTCGATGATATAGAATCGTATCTCTTTTATGAATCAAGTGAACCAATATCAGGAAAGCTTGAAAATAATGGTAAATATATTATAATTACACATTTTGCTTAGCAAAGTTGGGAGGGAGGGGTCATAGATCATAGGTTAGGGGGTGGGGGGGTCGTCTTAGATCAAAGGTTAGGGGATGGGGGTCGTCTTAGATCATAGGTTAGGGGGTGGGGGACCGTCTTAGATCGTAAGGTCTAGGGTCGTGATTTCCGTTCTACTAGTAAGTGCAGGGGGACTGTACCACACATAATTTACACAAAAACAAATAGACGGACAAGAAATATTACGCTGAAATCACAAACAAACGCAAAATTCAAATAAAGTGAATGGATCCGGGAGTTAGACGTAAGCGTCCACTGCACTACACAGCCCCGGGCCTGTAGTGACACAGACTTCACTCAAATTTACGATGGTACATGAGAAGGAATAAGTCGCCTCTAGGTTCTCCGTTAATCACCCACTGTTAAACATCCTCAAAGCCAGTAATTTATATGACAATATCTCGATCGTGCATCATACGACTGAGGGAAATAGTTCCCGCTCTGGATATAAGGTTTTGGCGGCGAATTACTCTGGATTTTATTGTAAAATAATTTGTGTCCAGGAAAGGATTTGGTTGAGGCTGTGTTCATGAATCTCAATATATCTGTGTACATGAATCTCAATATATCTGGTGAAGAATCCGATAACCAAGCCTCGTACAGACCTGGGTAGAAGAGGGACAGGTGGCTTGTTTACCAACTGAGCCAAATTAACTTTCCAGAGGACGAGACTTGGGGATTCTACTGAAAGGACGACTAGCCTGATCTGCTTTACTGGGTTGATTCTACTGAAAGAACTAGACTGATCTGCTTTACTGGGTGAATTCTACTGAAAGTAGGAACAATCGTGTCCTATGAAATGAACAATAATAAAAAAATATATATTTCAAATTGTTACAAAAAGTAGTCTTTGATCTTATTTGAACATATTTTTTTTTATAAAATTGCCAATATTTATCCAAGTTCAACAACATTGGCAACACCCATGTTTTCGATGTCACTATTCAAGATCTGATGATTAAAATGGTTGATAGATAAATTCTGTCTTGTGTAAAATATATATTGTTATAGATTGTAGAGATACTTTCTATAATTCCTCATACATAAAATGATTTTAAAACTGTCAACTACATCTCTTCTTTAATTGACATTGAGTAACTTAATATTTTAACACAAGGTACAATTTTATGGATACACAATAACTGAGTTTAATACTAAGCGACGTTTCGACGAGGATACTCTCTTCTTTATCAAGCAAACTTAGTAATTGTGTATCCATAAAATTGTACTTTGTGTTATCACATATCTCCATATCGCTACTGCGCGCCGTTATTATTGAAAACGGAGAGAGAATACCCTTCGACATGTTCTTCCATGAGTATGTGTGGTATAACTGGTATTGTTATTATAGAAAACGTTGAGAGACCACCCTTCGACATGTTCTTCCATGAATGTGTGGTGTCGTTATTATTGTCTTAGACGTTTCCCAGCTGATATTCAGTCGTATATTTCAGGTGTGTATCCCAAGTGGGTGGCTGGGAGAGAATCAACAATACTGAGAGGGGTTCGAACTCATTCTAATCTGGGCTATTTCCTGGACAATATCAACGTTCATTTTGGTTCTTGGAGCGAGGTCCGTCAATCTGAACACTTGATTGATTCGAAAACTTTTGATGCCGAGGTAAGAAAAATGATAACAATTAAACCATATATGATTGACTAAAAATTCGATTAACAGCCTGGTGGGTCAATAGAAACAGCCTAGTGGGTCAATAGAAACAGCCTGGTGGGTCAATAGAATCAGCCTGGTGGGTCAATAGAATCAGCCTGGTGGGTCAGTAGAAACAGCCTGGTGGGTCAATAGAAACAGACTGGTGGGTCAATAGAAACAGCCTGGTGGGTCAATAGAAACAGTGACAGAGAACAGGCTATGTATTGATCGGTAAGCCTTGAAGAATTCTGGACACGGTAACCGAATCTTTAATTCCTCTATCTGTATGTCAGTAATGTTACGCGCACTCCACTTTACCATGTGGAAATTGTCAAAGGTAACCGGACACGAGTTTTTTTAGAAACATTCCAGAAAGAGATCAAGGCATCAGATGTCCCAGAAAGGAATCTGGACACCAGATGTTCCAGAAAGGGACTCAGTCACCAGATGTTCCATAATAATCTAGACCTATAATAATCTAGACCCATATCAAGTGGAAGGGGACAAACTAGGGATATATACTCTTCAAAAAAAGTAGGGGATATTGAAATGCAAACCCTAGCTGAAAACAAAACTATGATAGGATCAACTGATACAAATCAGAACGATAAGCCAGGGGATTATCTACCATTGATGTATTGATTTTCTTTTATTTCAAATAATTAAATGTTAAATAATCGATTTTCAGAAAATTTGATTAAGTTGTGAAAAATTGGACATTTTCCGCAAAATGTAAGATGACGCACCGAGATTTAATTTTATTTATTTTGTCGATTTGTTGACAGGTGCATGTGGTGCATTACCGAGAAGATTTTTCGAGTTTAGCTGAAGCAAGTCAATATTCTGATGGAATAGTTACAATTGCTCTGTTCTTGTCGGTGAGTTCAATTTTATTTCTTATATGTGAGTTACTATAGGAACGGGTAGGATCGTAATTAATCTTCCCATGTATTCGCCATTTTTTATAATATATATAACAGGTAAGATCTCTAGAAACCAGACAAATTTTGACGTACAGAGGTCTCATCAACATAAACCAATGACAGTTAAAAACAGATGTGTCTTTAATGTCGTCGCCAGCAGTCGTTCAGTCTTTAAACTGTTACATGAACACAAAAATAACACGGGGTTTTGTTGTCTGTATGTTGGGGTTGAGTATGTAACAACTAATAGTTAGATCTTAAACATAACCCGGCGATATCAACTAATAGTTAAATCTTAAACATAACCCGGTGATATCAACTAATAGTTAAATCTTAAACATAACCCGGTGATATCAACTAATAGTTAAATCTTAAACATAACCCGGTGATATCAACTAATAGTTAAATCTGAAACATAACCCGGTGATATCAACTAATAGTTAAATCTGAAACATAACCCGGTGATATCAACTAATAGTTACATCTGAAACATAACCTAGCGATATCAACTAATAATAGTTACATCTTAAACATAACCTAGCGATATCAACTAATAATAGTTACATCTTAAACATAACCTAGCGATATCAACTAATAGTTAGATGATATCAACTAAAAATATGTTCTTGTTCTTCAGTATTCAGAAGGAGAGGAAAACGTGGGGATAAAGGAAGTTCTGGAGAAATTATCGTCAGTAAAGGATTTCGGAGAGGAAGGTAGGTTGTTCTTGAAATATTTTACCTAAATCTATTCCTGAACAGCACTAACTCAATGTTTCGGAAATAGTGGCATTATTAGTATATTTATCAATACAATGATATAGGTATGAAAATGGTATTAGATATTATAGAAAAGGTAAGCATATTCTGCGTCGTGCACCACTATGATTCGATAGTTTGAACTTGAATTTCCATTTTGTTATTATTTTGAATCCTGATCTTAGAAGGGCCGTTGAGAACCTTCATCTCCTGCTCGCAATGTTGTTTATCGTGAAATCCTACATACACAAAGGTATTCAAACCACATCAATATGAATCATGGAAAGTTCTACATACTCCACTGTAAAGAATATAAGTAATAGAATACATCTAATTAATAAAGGGTATCTCATTTTTAAAGTTAAAGGATAAAAAGGAAACTAACGATAGAATCAACATTCTACCTCCCCATTACCAAAACCCTAACCCCACCCCTTGTCACATTACCCAAACCTTACCCCCCCCCCCATTACCCAAACCCTTACCCACCCACCCATTAAACAAAATTGTCTTTACCCGATACCCCCACACACCAACCCACATACACTCCATCCCTTTACTGATAGGCGTCTAGATAAATATTTAATCATTTGATTGTATTTACAGGAGCTGTCTGTCCGTATGAAAGTATTAGATATCAGTTTAATTCTATGTTGGGTTTTACTGAGACGAGATCAGGACAATGTTATACTAGTGATCCACAGAGTAAATTCCCTAATTACTGTAAATTACATTCCAGTGGGGACAAAACATGTGGTAAGTCTTGCTTTTTACAAATAGTTTTCTTTAGAAAACCTGGAGTATCGTCGTCAGGTAAAATATACTCAGCCAAATTAAAAACTTGACACTCGGGATTTTTGGGACTAGATTTTTAATATTTGGTTTAAGGCAACTATTTTAGTGTTATGTTGTGCACAGGCGACCTTGACATCAACAGAAAGCAAGAATACGTCTCGCCGAAAGTCCTTGACATTGATAACGTTCGTGATGTCACAGTACCCCCAAAATGAAATTCACAGACTTGGAGAACAATCGGAATAAAGTGTTTAGTAACGGCTGTGGCCTCCTCTAGCGTCTCGTACTGCCACACAACTTCTTCTCATGGATCTCAGAACATTAGTAAACACTACCCGAGGAAGACGTCGCCACTGCTCTGCAAGAGCATGTTTAAGGTCCTGCAACGTCAGTGGTGGATTCACTTGCTGACGAACACGTCGACCCAGTTCGTCCCAGATGTGTTCAATAGGATTAAGGTCGGGGCTAAGCGACGGCCGATCCAGGACTTGGACGCCGGCATTTCTTTAAAAATTCTGGGTAGCAATTGCTGTATGGGTTCGAGCATTGTCTTGTTGAAACGTTAGTCCAGGCCCATGTCTCTGCATAAACGGAAGAAGAACAGGTTGCAAAATCTGATCCCTGTACCGGACAGCATTTAAGTTCGCTTGGACAACAACAAGAGGAGAACGTCCATGTGCACAAAAAGAACCCCAAACCATGACGCTGCCGCCACCAAATCGGTCAACTTCTCTGACGCATACTTGAGCGTAACGTTCACCTCGTCTGCGGTACACTCGGGCCCTGCCATCGGCAAATCTCAAAGTGAATGGAGATTCGTCACTAAAGACAACCGAATTCCACTGTCTTTGAGTAAATCGTATGTGTCTTGTGGCCCACACAAGTCGGTTACGGCGATGAAGAGGTGTCAATATTGGTCCATTATAGTGCCTCAGAGCTCGAAGACCAGCAGCCTGCAAGCGATTTCGAACAGTTTGTGCAGTTACCCCTCCACCAAACATCTCTCTACTTGTGGAGGTTGCAGTGACAAATCTGTTTCTAAGATGACGTAATCGTATTGCTTGATCTTCCTGGAGTGACGTCACACGTGGCGCCCCCGCCCTTGGACGGTCGGCAATAGTTCCAGTTTGAAGCACTCTCATTCTAAGATTAATTATTGTCTGGTGTGAACAATTAAAGACGCTTGCAACAGTTACCACAGACTGGCTAGCATAGAGCCTACCTATAGCACGTAGACGTTCTACATTTGAAAGGCGCGGCATTTTCTAACAAAGATGAAAATAACAATTTTAATTTGTTTTTCCAGTTCAAGTTACGTGTGCGTGTTCAGTTTAAGAAAACTTGCATCGATTGACCTCAAGAGTTTGTGTTTGCGCGTGTTTTTCAGGTTTTTCATCTTTATATGCTCAAAAGTCACGTGATCCACGTGACTTTACAATTTTATGAAATTAAAGGCTTCTTACTACTTACTATCGTTAGAAACACTTTACCAGAAAAAAAAATTTGTTGAAATTCATCAGTGTCAAGTTTTTAATTTGGCTGAGTATAATAATGTTTGACGTAATTTGACTGCTGTACAACTGCATCAGAGTTGGTGAAATAAGTGATGAAAACTATTTTAGACTGGTTAAATTTATTGAATTTATATTATAGGTAATTCTGTGGAGGATGTTAAAGTGTATCCTAATGACATGTTACCGTCGAAACCCGAGTATTATAGCTATACCGGTAGTATGACCACACCTCCCTGTTCTGAAGCCGTCAAGTGGTTGGTTGCTGAAAATCCAATGTTCATTAAACTAGACATTGTAAGTTGTTATAATTATGGTTTATAGCTTGATGTGAACGGCGGTGGTGGTAGTCGGGAGTTGCCCGACATGTTTTGTTTTTGAAGGTTAGAATAGGGGGATGTTTCAACCATTGATACATCATCAACTTGTTTATATACCCGACCATGTTCACCTACCGCCATCAAACAATTTGTACAATCTGATTAAAACACTGATCCTTTTTCCTTTCGTTTTTATAGTTTAAAATTTCCTTTTACTTGTCTTTACTACACTTGGATCTGAAAGAGTTGTTATATAACCTGTGGTCTGGCTGATGTGAGGAACCAGCCAATGAAACGATCTGTTTTAGTGAGTTCTTGGCGTGTTCTGCATGAAACTGTGGGTAAACTCCTAGAATCGTCAATATTGATTGATTAATCGGTGTCTGACGTCATAGGGTCAAAAGCCGCTCGTATGACCCCTGACGCCACCCCCACTACAACTGGTCATCTCCATGTAGTGTAGGCCATCGAAAGTATAAAAAAACGAAACGAAATATAGATCAGTATTTTAATTAGATTGTAGAAAAGTTAGGCCACTTATATTCTAGTGATAGCCATGTTGAAGTACTAGGCCACTTATATTCTAGTGATAGCCATGTTGAAGTACTAGGCCACTTATATTCTAGTGATAGCCATGTTGAAGTACTAGGCCACTTATATTCTAGTGATAGCCATGTTGAAGTACTAGGCCACTTATATTCTAGTGATAGCCATGTTGAAGTACTAGACCACTTATATTCTAGTGATAGCCATGTTGAAGTACTAGACCACTTATATTCTAGTGATAGCCATGTTGAAGTACTAGGCCACTTATATTCTAGTGATAGCCATGTTGAAGTACTAGGCCACTTATATTCTAGTGATAGCCATGTTGAAGTACACATATGATGAAAAAACAATAAACAATTTTAGTGACAGACAAGCAAACTTTAGGCCTATATTGTCGGGTCCTTAGGTAATCAGTTTAATTCAATAATATATACATAGAACACAGAGAGGCGTTTCTTTAATTGTTCACTATTATACAACCTATAATGAAATGAAATGGGGTTTAACGTTCTATTTTTCTGCACCGACTGGGCTATTGAAGAATGGCATACGCCATAAAGTGTTCTACGGTCTACTCTTATTTCGAATTCTAACCGTCAAGGGTTCTTTTACGTGCATCCAATTGTGTACACGGGACCGCCGTTTTTCGCCCCATCCGAACGACTAGACACCGTCCTTGTCGAGACCTTCGTCCTGCACCACTGATTAGGGGGAACCACGAGGGAAGTCAATCAATATTGTTTTATGAATCAAGTCAATCAATATTGTATCTGATATAGGATAGATCGAGTATAAAGCGTTTTGTTGCTTCTTTTTTTTTCAGTTACAAGATTTACACTCGCTTGAATCTCGGATTGGAAATAAGAAGATAGATGATGATGGTAATTTGAGACCTCTACAGGATGCCGCTGGTCGAGATATTCGTAGAATTAAATATAAATCATTTTAATTATATAATAATAATACAATGTCGGGCTTCTACAGGATCATTCTACAGGATTTAAATATTGTAATAAAATAACTAGGCTCAGACTAAGCCCGCTCTGGTCAATAATTATTTTCGACTGGTCAATATATAGGCTGGCTCGGCATGTATATATAGTGACAGACAATCTGACACTCTAAAGATTTCATAGTTTGGGTATTTTTCATATAAATAGCAGGTTTTTTTCTTTAAATGAACACCGTTTCAAATGTTTGCGGACTGCGGATGCGACTGTGCCTTAAATTTGTTCATATAAGCCCTTGTTTCTTTGACATTCGACTAAAACAATGAGGATTAAATAATTTATATATGGCCAAAGAATCAATCTGTATCCTGTTGATCAGGGTTTATTATGTATATATTGATGAAATATAAACTAACGGAGTTGATAAATTACTTGAGCAATCTGAATAAAGATAAATCCTATTTTATTTCGTGTTTTATATCTCAAAATTCTGTTTTTACTTGTCTTCACTTCACCAGGATCTGACAGCGTTATTAACGGAATAAAATGAAATGGGGTTTAACGTCCTACTGGTCTGCCCCTACTTTGCTAAAACATACGGACATACTCCACGCAGTGTGCTATGGGGGAGGTGTTGCCCGGACAGTGGCTCTATGGCCTACTCTTAATTCGAATTCTGTCAAGGGTTCTTTTACATGCGCGAGAATATGTACACGGGACGTCGGGTTTTCGTCCTATCGATTAGTGGAAATTAATAGAACGGTGTCACCCACAAGATACAGTGCTCGACTGATTGGTGGACTTCTATAGTCGAGACTTTTAGTTATAGAAGTAAACTGAGACTACGAGCTCCTCTGCCATCTACATACAATATTATAATTCCCGAGGTATCGTTCAGTCTCTACACGCGTATCGTCATATAGATTAAACTGTTTTCCAAATGAAATGATAATGATAACAAAATTCAGGAGGGTTGCCATTTTGAAATTTAGGCAAAATACTGTATAAGTTTTTAGATAAAGTTCGACTTTTAAAATATTTATTGACCTAAATTTCTGATGACAATACCTACTCCAGATTTCCAGGGATGTTCAAAATGCCACTTTTCTTTACCTTGAATGCAAGGCTGACAACCAACAGACTGGGTATTAAACTGTTATACAGAGAGAAACACGGGATGTTACAAAACATCGGAATGACGGACTGTCGTACTAACGGGCAGCCAGAACTCTACTTTTCTTCTGCATCATACATCAATGAGGAATTTTCAGACCCAGAACTGAAAGATACCTGTTAACTCAGAAACAAAACTCGGGTGAATAAAAATAACAAAACTGATTTAAATTATTGGCACTAAATTTGTATCTTTATTAGTGATGATCGCTTCTAATTAATGGATACGTGGTCGCTTTAATTACAAACCAATAAAAGTTACACACCCAATAGCCATGTAATCTAATAAGTAGACGTGGCGGGTGTAAATACTAAACAAGGCTGGGTCAATGGCATTTAGTAATTGAACTGGAATATACAGGTCACAATTCTATGGAATACAATTACTGCCTTTTATTGAGCGACGTTTCTAGTCATTATCAAACGATGATAAAATGCAACAAAACAATATATACATGATCACAACAATGCTTGGTTAATGCTGACCAAGTAAGGGTGTCTCTGGTTGATCAGTATTAACGAAGCATTGTTGTGTACATTTATATACTGCCTTGTTATATTTTATCATTGCTTGATAATGTCTAGAAATGTCACTCATTGTATTTTATAGAATTGTGAACTGTATAATATGTAGGAGGTTTTGGGATAGAGAAAGCGGTAAATATAATATGTTTTATACCATGAAACGACTGGACATGGGTTGGGTTATATGAATTGATAATATTATTACTTTAAACATAGATCAATTATAATAGCTGAAGACATTGTTTAAATATACCAAGATAATGACAGGAAGTCTGTGGTAATTATATTGAGCATTTAATGATTATAGATGAATTACTAAATATAACAAAATAAATCTAGAAATAACCACCTATAAATACAATATTTTAAATGTTTCTTTTTAATTATTTAATTGTTTTTTTAAAGATGGATTATTTAAGATAAAGAGCTGACCGTTCTTGCAATAATGGTTCAAAAATAGATAATGAGTAATGAATATATTGAAAATAATCATTAAATTATTATAAGACAAGACTATTCTAATCCGTTCAATATGTAAGCCATAGAGAGTGAATATGTCTAAATAATAATAATTTATATAACAACTGAAGCTAGAAATAGGACCTGCAATACATAATTTCTACTGTAAATTAAATTTCATCACTTCTGAAAATGTGTTACACAATCTTCAAAAAACCTTTTCTTCCTGATATAAATAAATACATTAATTAACACAATTGATTTACATAATTCATGTTATGAATTTAAAAACAAACAACATTATGAATTTATAAAAAAAACAAAATTTGCGAATTTAAAAAAAACAAAAACATTATGAAAGTCCAGAAATAAATAAAATTTGGTTAATTAAATAATTATAAATACAAAATAATTCAAATATATAAATTGATCTTACAAACTTTATAAAATTAGATGTCGATAAACTAATGTTTTATTCAATATTTTCTAATAAAAGGCAGCTATGTTTAAAGGGTATGAATGATACATCAAAGATTCAAGTACTGTACATGTATTTATCGCTTTTTTTAAAAAAAAAAAACAGTAAAAGATTATTATTATTCTTACATTCTTGATATGTAAAATAAAAGTTAAATAATTAAATAAAATATTTCTTAAAATGAGCAACATTTAAAAGGCTTGATTTGAGGATGGAATTTAAATGAAAATCAACAATAACAATTCATATATAACATCAACAATCTGTGGTTGATAAATAACAGTTTGTTGATATAATTAATCTTATACAGGTAAAACAATAGACAGGTAACATACAGGTAAAACAATAGACAGGTAACATGTTAACAAATATACATTTGTAAGTTTGTATCACAACTGAGTTATAGATCATTCCTAAATTAAATCTGAATAATTTATTTCAAAATTGTTACACTGAAATTTTAAAAATTATGCAACATTTATTTTAAAATATTGTGATAATAGTTTTAGGGTATATGGTAATTATGTGAAATATACACAATGCGATATGTTATACTTTACAGCATTTGTTTTTATCAAATTAAAAACACTACTATTGAGAGAGAGAAATGAGGTTTAATGTCCACTGACACAAACTAGGTCATTTCAGAAGTAACATATAGTTTAATTTTATTTTATTAATTCACATGCACGTTGGGGTCTTTAGCAGTGGAAGGAAACCGGAGGACCAAGAGAAAACCTATGAGGTGGATAGGCGACCCTACTTCTCACGCACCAGCAGGGAATTGAAACCATGCCACTTGACTCAATGATGCCACACACAGGTGTTAACCATTCGACCATCCATATCATCCATATGAAAAATACTTTTGAATAAGCGTTTGAGATATAGGCGACTACTATTGAGGAAGTGTATTAGATATATATACTACTATTAAAGATGGGTTCCCAGAAAAGTATTTATCGGGTGGTTATTTCCAATAAAAGTATGGTAATTATGGTATGTATGGAAAGTAGAGATATCCAATCTTACTAGAAAAATACTGGATTCCCTGAAAAACACTCATAGAGTGTATACAGGACAAAAATGTAAGGGTTCCCCTAATCAACAGCCCGGCGATTAGGAATTTCTGCACTCGTGATGTCAAAGGTCACAAGCAAACATTGATCGCTTGATGTAAAAATTGATAAACTTTATGAAGAGTTAGACTTACAACACTTTCTGAGATAAAAATGACGGAAAAAGACGCAGGTAGTGGATAATCCAAAAATTTAATTAGGATTCGATATTTGTAATAAATAGTAAGCGATTAAAGACAACATGTATGCAATGAATTCTCCTCTGACTTCCATGAGAGTTAAGTCACGTGACGTAAACATGACCTTTTCGTTCGTTGGAGTTTTACGTCCACTTCCACCTAGGGTGATATCGTAGACATTTTTATAGCAGCACATTCCTTCGCAATTACAATGTTTGAGAAGGATTTAAAGCAAAGTTATGACTAATTAATTAGTTTGAATATGTTTTTAGTCCATATATACCATTAAATCACCCTGTTTGTACGCGGGAACCCATCTTTGAGGAAGTGTATAAATGATCACAAGATATGTGATGTAACTGGTACTACACATGTTTATAAGGGCATAATAGATTAAAAAATTTGGAATTCAATTCTCAAAATATTCTTTAGGAATATCTAATTGTGCTGTGTCAATTTTTCTATCTGTGTCTTGTTGTGAGAATATGTCTATTTAGCACATATTTACTGGTTATCACATCACAAATCAATAAAATATCTATCTACTTCTTCCACGCATGTATATTAGTTTTAAAACTACTGTTGGTATTCTGTCTGGTAGGAGCACGTGTAGAGCCCGAGTGCGGCCGTAATTCTCTTTCTGGTGTTTTTAAGTTGGTTGTCGACTTGCCACCAGATGTAGGACTGACAGGTTTTTTACTGCGATGACCAACTGCTGGAGCTGACACGGCTCGGTTTGACAGACGACTGTAAGCTCGGGATCCCGTGTGAGATGTTTGTGGCCGTGAATCTAAAATATACAATAAAAACAACAATTGAACTATGTCAACCTGTGAGAAACAATGGGGCTTCTAGAAGGCCTACTGGTAATATACAACCAACAACATGACCAATTGACTCAATAATCAAAGTCCTATTGACAGTACAGGTTGAAAGGGAAAGAGAGAGACAATTACCAATCATAATGTCACCTGAATAACAGATTCTTACCTGAAGTCAGAGATTTTCCTCCATTCATCTCCAAACTGAAACAAACAAAAAATTAATTAAAAGATCACAACAATAAGAATTAGGATATTTAGGCCTTCACAGACAATTTTCCCTCATTTCCTCACATCCTTTAGGCCTTCACAGACAATTTTAATTTTAGCTCATTTCCTCACATCCTTTTTATTGCATTACTTTTAATCTGAAATGTGGCCTTTATATTTAAGAGTTGGTCCACCTCTACTATCTACAGAGAAATCGTTAAATGAGATTTTAAATAACAAACAATGCCAAATTAAGACATGATAACTCAGCAGGTAAATATAATAAATTACACAAGATTCTTACCATTGTGAGGGCAGACCAACAATCTTCGCTCTTCTGAAATCAGAGACAAACTCTTCACTGATTCTTGGATTACTGCCAATATTATCCATGACTAGATTATATAGTCCTGGTGTATTCCTACAGGCTGAGAACAGAAGTCTAGCAGCAGTCTTATTATAAGTTAAATATCCCAAAGCCACGGCAACAGAATTCCTCACTTGATCATTGGTTGAATAAAGATGTTCAATCAGCAAGTCGATGGCTCCCGTGGTTATCATCGCGTCAGGGATTCCAGCACGAGTGTGAGCTAAACTCGATAACAAACTGGCGGCTAATACTGTAACATTATTGTCTTTAGATTTGAGTTTCTCTACCAGTAGAGTTATTCCCCTTGCTGTCAACACAACCTGATCGACATCAACGATAACTCGAGCTAATACAACAACCTGTCATAGAAACGGTAAAATACTCAAAACAAGGTTATTTTATGACTGAGAATTTATATCTTATTTGATAAATTCACATATGAACAGCCTCATTTCAATCTGAGTAATTTAAACTCAAAGTGGAAAATTCAAATGAAACAAGATAGGTAGCAACAATAATTTTACCACTTCATCATCATGAACGTGGAAGGAATGATGATGGTGATGCTCAAAATGACAATAGATGTTTTTTTACTGCATAAATGGTTCCCTCGACTTTCTAATTTTGAAATATCAACAAGTTTTTCAAATATTTAATTTTATTGCAAAAATGATTGCTATTGCAAAACTGGTTGCTACAAAGCTATTTGATTAGTCATTGAAGTGCAGGAGATTGATGGGTAAACCAGTTTGGCTGATGACCTATCAGCGATGACCTATCAGTGATGACCTATCAGTGATGACAGCAGTGAAGAATGGGATAAATCAAACATTGTGAGGACTTGAGGGGTATATTATAATCAAACATTGTGAGGACTTGAGGAGTATATTACAATCAAACATTGTGAGGACTTGAGGAGTATATTATAATCAAACATTGTGAGGACTTAAGGAGTATATTACAATCAAACATTGTGAGGACTTGAGGAGTATATTACAATCAAACATTGTGGGGACTTGAGGAGTATATTACAATCAAACATTGTGAGGACTTGAGGGGTATATTATAATCAAACATTGTGAGGACTTGAGGGGTATATTACAATCAAACATTGTGAGGACTTGAGGAGTATATTATAATCAAACATTGTGAGGACTTGAGGAGTATATTACAATCAAACATTGTGAGGACTTGAGGGGTATATTACAATCAAACATTGTGAGGACTTGAGGGGTATATTACAATCAAACATTGTGAGGACTTGAGGAGTATATTACAATCAAACATTGTGAGGACTTGAGGAGTATATTATAATCAAACATTGTGAGGACTTGAGGAGTATATTACAATCAAACATTGTGAGGACTTGAGGAGTATATTACAATCAAACATTGTGAGGACTTGAGGAGTATATTATACTCAAACATTGTGAGAACTTGAGGAGTATATTATAATCAAACATTGTGAGGACTTGAGGAGTATATTACAATCAAACATTGTGAGGACTTGAGGAGTATATTATAATCAAACATTGTGAGGACTTGAGGAGTATATCACAATCTTAATGTACACAAAAATTAATGTAAATAAAAAATCATTGTACATATTTACCTGAAAGGCTGCGTAACATTGATAGAATTCATCAGGTGAATCTATAAATCTTTCAAACATGGAATATCTGATACCACCTGCTTCACGAATCTCAAACTGCTGGGGTGTATTATTAAACGCAAATATTGTTAATGCTGTCCCCGCTTTCAACTGTATGTCCTGATGAAATAAAAAACACACTACTGTACTGTAAAACAACAAATCCATACAAACTTTAAATGAATATTTTAAATGTGACCAATTAATAGTCTGATTAATTTTAATTTATCCTGTCAAGTTTAATAACCTTGAAAATCAATGGTATTGTCAAACATAATAACACCCCTCATAACGATACACTAATCCACAGTGGTATACGATTAATGAATGTTGTCAACGATGCCATTATAATATCTAACATGAGTGACGTTGATTGTATGCCCCCCCCCTTCAACCCCAAGAGTCAAGTATTGGGCCTAGTATAGGGTGACCCACCATAAATAAATATCTCCATATATCTCGACAATTACGCCACAATATTTATATATATGCCAAGCCTCAAATCAGTTTCACACAATTATAGTCACTAAATAAACGATCATGTTGTACTTAATAAGCTATGACCATTAATCATGTATAAATAATAGACTGAAAACTGGTTCCAAGAGTCGTCCATAACATCCAGATACTTTTGAGTAAAAGATAGGTTACGTGCCCTTGTTTTGAAATTAGTCTCGCTTAACCAGTCTATCGACCATTCTACGTCTGATTGACAGGTCGGGATAATCAAGACTACTTTTTTACGAAACGTAACAGAAAGCTAGAACAAGAAATTGAATTTAGAAATAAGCACGTTAGGTAGCCCAACAATCGTTTTAAGAAGCTTGTAAAAGTAAAATGAAACTACTGCTAGTATCATGTTCCTGCCTAACCCGAGTGATTCAGAGATATTATTTGTACTAAACCAAAAGATGCCGCTCTTAACGGTACAGTTAATGATAAAGCGATTTAAAAAATGAAACGAACGTAATTTCTAAATCTGCTGTAATAACCAAGAAGCTTAATTTAACTGCTATTCAAAATCGTCAACAATAAATTTTTTACGGCTGTAATAGTTGATAGATTTGTAGAGAATTGCACGTGCCATGGCTATTTATAGTATCATACTGTCAGTATCGGCACAGCGAATGTGCACGCTTCAGTGGTAGTCTCGAACTATCAGCGGTGGACTGTATTTCTGAGAGTACATGGGTCACACTACCTAGTACTCCGAACTATGGCAGCCTGTACAACACGGGAATGGATGCCTAGGTCTGCACACCACTGTCTCACTTGATAAAATTACAACAAAAAAACACTCATCAAGATAGAGTCACAATAAACATTTGAAGCTACGTATTATACATTTACCTCATCTTTAGATCTTAACAGATATAACAAAACATCAAAATTAAAATCAGGTTCTTCTTGTAACTTTTCTTGGTTACCATGGTTACTGAGAACAACACAAGCCAGTGATATGGCCACCTCCACTTGTATCTCTTGATTTAGGGGATATTTCAACAGTTGAACTAAGATAGGGATTCCCCCTTCCTCAGCTATCTTCCTCTGGGTTACCTTATTATTCCTGTATGCCACACCTAACATATAAACAAGTCATCTTAAAGAAGCAGCAATCAAATAAATAAAAACAATCTAACAAAATAACCTATTTTATTTGTCAAGTAGCTTCAATTAAATAAAAAAAAAAATCTAACAAAATAACTTATTTTATTTGTCCGAAAGTCCTCGCTAAAAATATTGTGAAATCTATTTCCTGCAGAAGAAAGTGAACTTTATTTACTCAAACATCAACAAGACAATTAGTAAGTGCAGGAGAACAGCACTACAAGACAAACATGCGGACAAGACAAACACGCGGACAAAACAAACACGCGGACTAGACAAACTACACAGACATTGTAAGAAATAAACAACGAATATCAATTCAATTGAAGCGGTCCGGTGGCCATGCCTGTACAGCATGTACAATATACAAGCACGACTAATTGGTTAATATTGTTTGAAATTCTATCATCACCATGGGTTTGGAAACGTGAGAAAAACGGAGTTGAATTGTGACAAATCTCGAGTGAGAAAACGGTCCGCAATTTGTTTCATTATATACAGCAGCCAAAATGAACTAAAGTGAACGTAAACATCTCTTACTAATCTTAAAAATGAAACTGAAATTTCTATCAGGGGTTCAGAATCTGATACCATTAAGGTACCTGAAAATAACAGTAGACCTATCATACATGAAAAACCTTATTTTAATTCAGTCATGTGACGAAGTTACAGAATACTGTATAGCTGTGGCAGCTTCTTTGATAATCAAGAAACTAAATTTAATCTCCTGATTCATACCAACTATACATCATTTTAAAGGTACTGAGGTGGAGAATGTGAAAATAACAATAACTCAATTTTCAAAATCTACTCATTGCAACTCAATTTGCCACCATGGTTCACAATTGTTTTTGCATGTATACTGTCAAAATTAACCTACATGGATCATACAGGATTGTAAATTGTGATGTCACTGCTTGTTAGTAGCATAGGCTACGAGCTGGGGGGGCTGGGGGCGCCCCCCCCCCCCCATTTTGGGCACCAAATGCTGGGAAAATTTGGGCACACAATTGTACTTTGTAAAAGTTGTATAAAAAAAATATTGTGTTCTTGAATGTGTCCAATTTAACAGCGAATCTATTATTATTATGTAACATACTAAGAACCTAATTACATTTTTTGGGCACCAACCACCACCGCCCCCCCCCAGTCAAAAATTTCCCCGTACACCTATGGTTAGTAGGAGATATAACCACAATGGACTGTAGTGGTAATAACATTTATTTGATAAACCCAAAAATTGTTTTTAAAATAAATAAGCATCCAGACTTGAAAATTGAACTGACCTACACAGAGAATACCTAGAACTTTTATAACCATGAGTAAAACTCGAGCAGACGTTTTATTGGATCGTAATAATCTGATTAACTGCTGAAAGGCATCAGCACTCGCCAGTTTATTCTGGTTCTCAGCATTTTCACGTCCCAATGCAATGGCCGTCATACATCCTACAAAATAGAGTAGAAATAAGCAATAATAATTTTTGAATTTCTTGAACTGATTGAAGAAAATGGATGATAGATACAGGCATGTGAGAGAGAGAGAGAGAGAAATGGGATTTAACGTCCACTCGACACAAAGTAGTTCATTTCGGGACTAACACACAGTTCATTTTTATTTCAATAATTTGCTTGCGTGTATGGGTCTTTAGCAGTGGGAGGAAACCGGAGGACCTGGAGAAAACCCACGAGGTTGGACAGGCGACCCTACTCCTTGTCACGTACAACCAGGGAATCGAAACCCCGCCAGTTGACTTAATGACAGACCGTATGATAAATCGCGCGCATGCTAACCATTCAGCCATCCAACCCCTACAGGCATGTTACAGTATGGATATATCATATTGCACACTTTACAACAAACATATCTTTAACTAAAGTATAACATCAAAAATTTATTTGTTTGTTACTGAATGTAGAAGAAATTTCTCCGCCATTTAATTGCCACAACATTTTGGGAACTGGCTTGATATTTAGTGCAAAGACCCAGATTCTACTTCATTATATTTGGAAAGCGAAATGAGTGAATATCAACATATATGATACATACCAACATAAAGAAGTTTTTCTGTCGGTTCTAATAACATCTGTATAATATGTTGAATTCCTGTTCGTTCAGCAATATATTTCTGTTGGGTGTTTTTATGTCCAGCCAACGCCCACAATGAACATGCCCCTTGTTCTCGTACTTCCACATTTATATTCTGAAATTAAAAACAATTAATAACAGGAGTACAATACAAGTTTAACCATTAATAACAATACAATACAAGTCTAACCAAAAACTATAACAAGCAATAGAATGGGGTTTTAAGGTCTTATCAATACTTGGCTTATTTCACACAAACATATGGTCATTTTCTATTTCTATGATAAAATGTACAATGAAATTCGAGAATTTGCCTGCACCTTACCTTCAATAATTTAATCAGAGCTTTTGGGGCATCAAGTTCTAGGAAAGCCTTTTGTATTTCAGGATTATTCTCCGCCAGGGCTTCTAGAGCACTAGCTGCTTTAACTTGTACTGTAACATTCCGACTTAATCTTATTCTGTCTACAATATGTCTGAAAGATAATATAAACAGTTTGTACTGTCATGTCAACAGTTTGTACTGTCATGTCAACAGTGGGTGCTGTCATGTCAACAGTGGGTGCTGTCATGTCAACAGTGGGTGCTGTCATGTCAACAGTTGGTGCTGCCATATCAACAATTGGTGCTGTCATGCCAACAGATGCCGCTGCCATGTCAACAGTTTGTATACAAAAATACTTAACTCCTCACATGAGAAGTAGTATCACCCATCACTGTTATAGCAATGGTTGGTATCAGAAGTTGAACCTATGAGGAAGAAGATAACACCCAGAACAAAATAATTGAGTTATCATTTGTCCTGGTAAAACACTTATATAAATAGATACCAGATTTTATTCTTTTCAACGTAAAAATAAAGATCATTCTACCGATCAATAAATTTATGAATTTCACTAAAGTTCCTTTTTATTCTTTTGATAAAAAATAACCAATTCAAAATGAAAAGAAATAACTTACTTTATTGCACCTTCAGCCATGACAGCGTCTTGGTTTGTTTTATTATAAGCGCATACTGCTGCTATGGCTGCCGAAGTGGCTGCTTGTAAAATATCTACAACAACACAATCACAGATTGTATTACAGATATCGTGGCAACTCCACACAGATAAAGTAATCTATGAAATTATTGATTAATAAAACTCAATCACAGTAGAATATCAATGTTAAACTCCATTCCATTTCATTTCAATAAACCGTGTTTACAACCTATGAAAACCAAATTAATGGGATACTGGTTTAGCACTGCAAAATGCAATTCAGAAAGCAGATGGAAAAATTGACCCCAGTATCAGCTCAATGCCACTATATGGTGTTGATAAATGGATCAACTTAACCCAGTGTGGTGTCGATTACTAATCAACCAATCAACACAGAGTTTGTATATTACAAACAATACTTCAGATATAGTTGATTATGCACTTTAAAGTTTATGTTCCCCAAACCGCCTAACAATTCGATCAAGAATTAACATCTGCTCCCTAAGTCAAGATGGCAGACAATAATCTGCCAGTTAGTGATACCCTGCCATTTTTACCCAGAGCTTGCCCCATAAATACCATACTTTTATTGGAAATAACTACTCTATAAATACTATGGTGAGAATGTATCTTTAATGTAGTACCAATTGTTGGTGTAAACACAGCTATAATTTACCAGCATATCTGATCACATGTAGATTGATAAATAGTTGTAATTAGTTACAAATTTCCTTTCATACCCCCTAATCAAACAGTAATCAATTGATTGAGTGATTGATTACTAATCAATTATTGATTGTTTTTAAATGTTTTACAAGATAGAAATTATAAAAGTGAGATTAATTTGATCATACTCTTAAGTTTATAATTATAGCTGCCATTATTATTTATTAATAACTGATTTAAAGTTACAATTTCATATTTTTAAATTATATTTTTAAAATGTATTAAAATAAAGCCCTAAAATAGATGGTATCTATAAACAGTCCTACCTTGTTAAAGAATAATCCTATTAATCCTATAATTGACTATAGCCAGTTGAGAAATTAGCAAAAATATCATTTTCAACTTCAAATTCAAACGTTAGAAGATAGCTATTCCATGGTGGGGAATAGGAAAGCAAGAGAGGTTAATTGGGAGGTAATTGTGTTATTATTTCCGGGGTAAATGATTTTTAAGTGTGAGAAAGATAACCTATGATCGTATAATAGTGAGTTGACAACCTATTGAGCAAAAGACATAGAAATAATTATGTTTTGACTTTCAATTGTAACTTTTAACACAATCAGGCTACAGTATCATTACTACACCAGTATAACATGCTATAGTATCATTACTACAACAGTATAACATGCTATAGTATCATTACTACAACAGTATAACATGCTATAGTATCATTACTATAACAGTTTAATGTCTCTGTATGTCATTTACATTTTTGTTAAATTATCAAATTCAACTTTTACAATATTAATAATGAATTAATAATATGTTAATAATCCCTCAACTGACGCTTAGAGACCTTAAATGCATATATATGAATAATCTTTTAACCTCAGTCTGAAGTAATAAAATGATGACACTCTTTGTACACCCCCTCCCCTTTGCTCCAGTGATCAAAGTGTACATGACTGTGTTAACCCTTCTGTAAACACAGATAAAACATTTTAATGGACCACTCAGATTATCACAAAAAAGTTTTTAAAGAGGAGTCCGCAATCACTCCCAATAAATGATTAAACTAAAGAAAATTCCAATAATTACCTGAATCTACTGTTAGAAATTCAACCAATGGTTCAATTCCACCACATTTTGCAACCTCTGCCTGATTCTCTGCATTGTTTAAACACATGACTCGTATTGCGTTGACTGTATTCACCAGAACATCCTCTAACTCTGAGTCCAACAAATGTACAAGAGGAGGTATTCCTCCATTACTCGCAATATTATCCTGATTCCCTTCAACACTTGCTAAATCTGATAAAATAATGGCTGCCCTCGATTGTATGTCGTCGATTGGGGAGCCTAAAAGTTTTATAAGTATGGGTCCGGCCAGACATCTGGTTAGAGCAAATCTGATATCATGATGTTCGGAGATGTTACAGAGAACAGAAGCGGCCACTGTTTGTATCTCATCATTATCTGTATTCAATAGATCCACAAGAGCTGGTATTCCATCTTGAAAATATAACACATTGAAAATGTTAAATATTTATTGATATTGTTAGCTACATGTTAATTTATTAAGTGATTAAAACGTGGTATCAGATGTTCTACAGAGCTCAACCATGTTCTGCTGTGTGCAAATCATCAGTCAATAATAATTTGGACCCAGTGACAAAAAGAGGTAACCATGCTGGCACATCTAGGGGAACTTCCTTGGCCAATATCAAGATCAAACCTGGGTTCTCCTGTTTAGTGAGCAGCGCTGAACTCACTCAGCCACTGCTTTTCCCTAAGAACATCACTTCTTTTTCCGTCTCCTTAGACCTGGTAAAAATAATGAAATTCAAAGAGCTGAACAAAAGATGGTCTACAAACCTGCATGTAAAATGGCCTTCCAGTGATGAGATTTAGATGTAGAAAGAACTTCCAGACATTTGACACCTGCATCTTGTTTAACCAGTGACTCATCCCGTAACATTCCTACAATTAATGCATACTAGATTAACACACACTAGATTAACCATATGAATTAACACACACTAGATTAACCCTACGCATAAACATGAATTAACACACACTAGATTAACACACACATAATTTCCATGCTTTCCCCAAACACCAGGGTCAAGAGATCAAGTTATACAAGTCAACAGCGGAATTCCTTAAATGAGTACCGGTAACCTAATCATGTAAAGCAAATCTACCTTCCGAACAACTCAATAATTTCAGACATCTTAATGAGACAATTTCTTAGTTACTTGTATACTTAAACCCAGATTTATTCACAGGTACCCTGTTTAATAGGGGGATTGTGATTTTAAAACAGTTCAACTTACCAACTAGAATTTTCCAGACAGGAATATCCGGATTATTCCACTCGATCAGGTATTCCAGGATGTTGGTATGGAAACGTAGTGCCGCCAAATTTACCATATTATTCTCTGTGGTGTCCACCTTCGTTATATCGGCACCAAGACCAATGAGACATCTTACTGCCATCAGGGCACCAGAACTTGCTGCCAGTAATAAGGGTGATGACTTCACACTGTCATCATGAAAATAATATTCAGTTTAAATTGATAACAATCTCCCAACATAAAAAGGTCATTTTGGAACTAACACCTTATTTCAGGGCTTGATTTAACATCGAAAGGATACTAACTTAAGGTTAGGCAACTTATTTAAATAAAGATGTGCCATTTATGAGCCCCTGAAATAACCTAGTTTTTTGTCCAGATATAACCTAGTTTGTGTTAACAAACATTACAAAGACATCCATAACCAGTTGATCAGCTAAACAAGAAGTGGTAGCAAGTTTCTAGAAGGAGTCATCCTCGATATCCCCAGTTGTTTCATTCCGTCTTACTCCAATAAACCCCTGGGTTAATCTGGGGAGAGGGGGGGACACAATTGATTTGTAAACTGTTTTTTTTAATTGGTTCGTAGACTATAGCTACAATCAAGGCCTGGGAAGATAATTTGAAATTGTGGAAACCCTAGTGATTAACCCATGGTATAGTGTAGTAGAAGGAGTAAGTTTAGTCTGCCTTGTATATTTACCACCAGTCTGAATTAACCCCGTGGTATCACATACTGACATTGTAAAAACCTTATGGTATCATACATCAATAGAGAAATATAGAGCAGGGCTTATGCTGGTGGCTGCCAAACTCGCAATTTAGGAGGAAAAAAAATTGAAAGTGGTGATTAAAATTTGATTTTTGAGATAACGTCTAGGGGTACTTGCGATTTATTTTGAGAAGTGGTGGGTGAAAAAATCTTAAAATTTGAATTGTATTATTCCTAGATTTAGGATTGACCCATATGTTGAGTGTCAATCACAATTGCAAGTTCTTGTATATTGTATATACAAGTAATTGTTTTTTAATAATAGGCCTACCTGAGAAATAAAATTGTTACATGTCTTTTTTTATCACATTTTACTGACAGAAAAAAATTAAAAGCCAGTGTGAGCATTGATTTTCAGACTTTATAAGCCTTGTGATATCACATATTGAGACTGTATAAACCTTGTGATATCACATACTGAGACTGTTTTCACTATGTAATATTTTTTCACTATGTAACTTACTCATTTTTAGTTTGTAGTTCCATTAATCCTGAATTTTTTCTGATCATCAGCGCCAGGATGTCTTCGTGATTAAAGAAAGCAGCATGATGTATCGGTGCCCACCCATCCTGATCTGTAGCTAATACATTAGCATAGTTGGCTAGAAGACATGCAACAGCATCTAACGACCCACATCTAGCTGCCATATGTAATCCAGTTGGACCTAAAAACAAAACAAAATTTCGTTTCGGACAAATTCATAGCTTAAAATTCACCCAAATGATTGTTCGTACTGTCATATATTTCAGTATCTAAAAGTAGGTAGTATTTTAATGCAATGATTATATATAACACAATACAGTTCTATGGATAACAATCACTATATTATATACACACCACGTTTCAACAAGAATTCACTGGTCATTATCAAGCATACAAATTACAAAATGCTTGTAAATGACCAGTGAAATCTTGTTGAAACATCGTGTATATATAATATAGTGATTGTTATCCATAGAACCGTGTTGTGTTATATTATGTTCAATTGCTAAATGCCATTCAAAGATTACAAAGATTATATAATTATGTAATTAAGCACATGTGAGTATTAAAAATTAAAAGATCTTCATAAAGAATAAACTGGCCTGTATGAAAATGATAACATAATTAATATTACTAGATTTGTCCAAGAGAAATCAAGATGGTGGTGTCAATATAGTCAATATAGTACTCCCTAATATATCTATTTTAATTTGCTTTAAATCTGCAAGGAACGTTGTCTAATCTAAGGGAATCTGTGATTAAAAAAAAAAAAGAAAAAAAAGGTAAGCTCGGTATGGAACTATGTGATTAATAGGTGACAAAGGGATGATATTGGAATGAGACTCTATGTGACTGAAGATTGAAGAAGGGAAAATTTCAAGAAAAAGATATGAAATTTTTGTGATTTATTTGGACTATGGGAAATCTGTGAAGTCTAAAAATAAAATATCCCAAAAAAGAAACAATGATATTTCAAATATAGCAATGATCAGGTGTGGTATTGTTGTATAAATCCTGGGTAAGATAAACTTGATATATATAGGCCATACAGCAATTGAAATAGTAGACATAGGTAAACTAAATATGTACTTGATGTAATATGATGCAAGTTCATTAAGATCAAGATGTTTGTAGGCCTACATAGTAATCAATATATCAGATAATGCAGGAAAGACATTTTTATAATTGATGATCGCATTCGTAACAATTTATTATAAATAAGACATGTTTGTAAATGATGTATGATAAATACAATGTGTGTATTAATACGATGATTTAAAGGACAGCTGTTTGCCATTGATGTGATGTACAGCAGGAGCTTGCAACTCATCATCTAAATAGGAGGTATTAAATCATAGAATATTGAAATTGATGATCTATCTATACAGCAAGTGTCTGTAATTGATGATCTACACAGTAAGTGACTGTAATTGATGATCTATGCAGCAAATGTTTGTAATTGATAATCTACACAATAAGTGATTGTATTTGATGATCTACACAATAAGTGATTGTAATTGATGACCTACACAGTAAGTGACCGTAATTGAAGATCTATACAGCAAGTGATTGTAATTGATGATCTATACAGCAAGTGTCTGTAATTGATGATCTATACAGCAAGTGTTTGTAATTGATGGTCTATACAGCAAGTGTTTGTAATTGAAGATCTATACAGCAAGTGATTGTATGTGATGATCGATACCAAATGTGATAATTGATGATCTATACAGCAAGTGCTTGTAAGTGACACAAGTGTTTGTAAGTGATGATCTATACCAAAACTATCTATATAAGGCAGTGTTTGTAATTGGTAGTGTATAATACAGTGTTTGTAATTGATGGAATGTATGATAGATTATGTAACTGATAGTGTGTATAATGCAGTATTTTTTAATTGACAGTATGTATGATAGATTTAATATTTAACTGATGATCATGCGGTATAAGGCAGTGTTTGTAATTGGTGAATATAATTGTAATCTACCCGTGAAATTTAAACACAATCATGCTTTTACCTTCCAACTCCTCCATTGTGGAATCTTTATATGATTAACAGTATAGTCAATATATTTTATATAATTAACAGTATAGTCAATATATATTTTATATGATTAACAGTATAGTCAATATATATTTTATGATTAACAGTATAGTCAATATATATTTTATATGATTAACAGTATAGTCAATATATTTTATATAATTAACAGTATAATCAATATATATCTTATATGATTAACAGTATAGTCAATATATATTTTATATGAATAACAGTATAATCAATATATATTTTATATGATTAACAGTACAGTCAATATATATTTTATATGAATAACAGACATAATTTACACATCTAATTAACATCAAAAACTTAAACATCATTTATATGACAAGGTGAAGACCACGCCAGCAAATCCTGGGGAACTTTCCCAGCCGTGGATCCTTTAAAGGACAAACATTGGTTCAGTTACAGGGTTTTTCAAAAAGGGGGTGTAAACCAGATTCTTGACAAATACTTAGTCAACTAAGTAGGGTAATTTGTTACATTCTTATTTCAGTTTTATATGTCCGTGCAATATATTTGTCCCGGTTTCAGTGGTGTAGCTATTATCTCCCATCGATGGGCAGAAACATATAATAATTCCCACAAAAAAGGTTTTATAAATTGCAAATTTCCTGACACCCCACTTTTGGAGGGATGTTATATATGATTTTAAACCCCCTACAACTTGAGCTTTGGATGGATGTTATATATGATTTTAAACCCCCTACAACTTGAGTTTCGGATGGATGTTATATATGATTGTAAACCCCCTACAATTTGAGTTTTGGAGGGATGTTATATATGATTGTAAACCCCCTACAACTTGAGCTTTGTGGACACTAACCTGTTCCCATGATGTTGTTACGTCGGACATTGACATCCATTGATTGTAACAGCAGTAACGCAATAATCTGAGGTCTGTTAAACATGGCTGCATAGTGAAGGTATGATAAACCATGTTCATCTTGTTTACCCAGACGGGACGCAGGCATTTTACGACACAGAGCATGAAATATAACAACCAAGCCTCGTTGTGCTGCTGCCTTTAAACCATTCTGTGGAGTCTGAAAAGGAAGATAGATTTCTGCAGTATATTATCAAAGACGCACTAAAATCATGAGAGAGAAAATTAACATATGGTACCATTTTACTTCAATAATTGCTCATAGACATCTATCTAGTGGGGATCTATCTGGTAGAGAACTATCTAGTAGGGATCTATCTGGTAGACATCTATCTAGTAGAGATCCATCTAGTAGGGATCCATCTAGTAGAGATCTATCTAGTAGAGATCTATCTAGTAGAGATCCATCTAGTAGGGATCCATCTAGTAGAGATTTATCTAGTAGAGATCTATCTGGTAGAGAACTATCTAGTAGGGATCTATCTAGTAGAGATCTATCTGGTAGAGATCTATCTAGTAGAGATCCATCTAGTAGGGATCCATCTAGTAGAGATTTATCTAGTAGAGATCTATCTGGTAGAGATCTATCTAGTAGATATCTATCTAGTAGAGATCTATCTAGTAGAGATCTATCTGGTAGAGAACTATCTAGTAGAGATTTATCTGGTAGAGATCTATCTAGTAGACATCTATCTAGTAGACATCTATCTGGTAGAGATCTATCTAGTAGAGATCTATCTAGTAGAGATCTATCTAGTAGAGATCTACCTAGTAGATATCTATCTAGTAGGGATCTATCTGGTAGAGAACTATCTAATAGAGAGCTATCTAATAGAGATCTATAAATGAAACTAGGTTTAACATCCTACTGGGAAACAGAAGATAGTGTTAGGGACAGTAGCATGTCTGGCTATCACTTGACTCAATGATAAACCTTAGAACACTCAGACTCTCCTCCCCTCTACCATATACCTATAATGGAAATCAAACCAATTACCTTGTATTTCACAGCTTTTTTATATCCAAAATATTTCTTGAACTGTTCATGTAGTGGTATTTCATGTATTGGTAGTTTTTTAGGTTTTAAAGTTTGAAGTTCTTCATGAAATGCACGAATCCACAAAGGTTTCTGAGGGTTGGCACTATAATACGTCTCAAACTCTAACATTATCACATAGTAACTGAAAAATAATTCTTACAATCAAAGTAACATACGCCCACCAACAGAGCTGATCAACAATCAAATGAGTTTAAAGAAAATCGAAGAGAGGGAGACACTGGCAGGCAAGCATGGAAGTTTTGCAGGCAGGCAGATCTACTCCTTGCCATATACAAGCTTAGGATCTTAGGATCTAAACGCTCGACCACCCAACCAACCTCAGATGATTTGAGAGGCAAATTTAAAGGAGCTAAATCGCTAATATTTGGGACCTAGAAATTGACACAAATGGAGAGAGAGAGAGAAATGGGGTTTAACTTCCACTCGACATTATTAAACTAGGTCATTTCGGGACTAACATATGGTTCAATTTTATTTCAATAATACGCTTGCATGCAGGGGTTTTTACCAGTCGGAGGAAACCGGAGTACCCTGAGAAAACCCACGAGGTTGGACAGGCGACCCTACTCCTTGTCACGTACAACAGGAGAATCAAAACCACGCCAGTTGACTCAATGACAGACCTTATGATACAGTGTGATTGTGCTAACCATTTGGCCTCCAACCCCCCTTGACACAAATGGGTCGCAACGAATATAATAATGTAATATGAATGTATATAAACTGATTTACATTCAACCGTTTCTGTTTTTACTCTAATTTCAAATAGTTATGTTCGGTGAAATACGCCAAAAGTCTCAATTGAATGGCAATCTCTAGCGTCTGGTTACTCCAGTCTACACCGATAATATATATTGCACATGCTCTCCAGTCCAGACAAGAAAATGATGTCAGTGGTGTGACATGACTTGTGGAATATGTCTAAGCTTGTTCTTTGAGCCCCTTGTTACAAATAGCATTGAAACACATTATTACACGATTCGTGTACCAATGGTAAAATGTTTATTTTGTCTTAAATATTGGATATCAGAAACCCATCTTTTCCTGGCAAGATCACAACATCAATGTTAATTTAAATTGACAAATAATTTGTGTTTTCAATATTGAATTAGAGACTTAGCTACTTTAAACAGAATTTGTCAGATGTCAGTGTGTACAACATAGGAAAATAAAAAGATATAGGAAACACTTACTTTTTACCATCAATCTCTCTGATAGGAAGTTTATACTGTTCTGGTACTTGTATGACAGGATCTAACATTTTATTGAGAAAATTCTGTGATTCTGAATGCAGATCTTCGTATGAATCAATGAATGGTTGAGAAAGTTTCTTCATTTCATCAGTTTCTAGATCTATAACAATACCTAAAAAATAAAATATACAATTAATATACATGGGATAGGATTGAACGACACAAAACTTTCACACTTAACATACTAGTAGTTATTTTTTCCATGGTAACATGAGCAATACTAGGAAGGGGATTTAACAGGACAGGTTTAATAACAATCATCTTCGATAGCCACAGTGGTCTCATTCCATTCTACTCCATTAACATCTGGGTTAATCCAAGGGGTGGACACGTATTCAAGTTATCTGCCCTTGATGATTGTGATATTTTTATCGACCAATTGCAAAGGAAGATGGTTCGCAGACTCAAGCTACAATCAAGGGCAGATAATTTGAAATGGTGAAAACCCTATATGGTTTAACCCAGGGTATAGAGGAGTAGAACGTAAAGAGACCATTGGGGATATACAACTCTTAAAATTAACAATTACAGTTGTCAACCATTATCTTGTTTTTTTGTATTTGTCTTCACAATAATAGAAATAAAATGTTCATGTTTTTTTTTTAAATTTGCAATTCTAAACTAATGCTTACCACCATGGAGGTTAAAGTAGCGCTCTCCATAACTAAAATTACGACATCGAAAATCTGATCCTAGTATAAGGGGAGGTAACTCTCTTTCTGTTCGACATTCATCAGCTGAAAAACGGAGTTTGTTTACTATTATCTAGACAGATTCTTACCATCTTCTATTCTCTCTTATAACAAACATGCAAATAATACCCAGTTTTATTAAATCTAGAAATGCTTACTCTTTCTAGAACAACTGATAATTAACTTATCAAGACCATAATCAACTCTCAATGCCATTGGATGCCTGCGATATTTAGTGGATTTGAATATGTTTTGTGGTGGATAAAATAACCGTAAAAATAGATAATCAAGACTTTTTTTTATCATTATTACAATGGCAGTAATGACGATCGAGGCTAGCCTAAAATATCTAGATGAAGCAATGTGACCAGAATTTTCAGCATATTGCCTTTTCATTACCTATTTTTTTAACTATTATAGCAAGAACTGCGTAATGCCTCTTTAACAGGTGATTAATATAGTTAACAATTGAGAGTGTAATCATGTGGATTAACAACAGGGCCTCCGACATCATTACCTTGAAGAAGAGAGTATCTCTTCAAAACGTTGGTTTAATAGTGTCTCTTTTGTTTATTTACTTTAATAATTATCTAGTGAAGGACACTTCCGTATCAGATCCTTCAAACCATTGTTTTCATATTCCTGTTGGATGCGAATTCTACACAAGGTTTGAATCGAGGAACATTGGTTTCTGGACTCGTATTTTTTTAAGTTTAGCCCCAAGACTATTATTATTTGATAATTTGGTGTGTATGATCTGTGTAATTTCTGTAGGCCTGGCCTATAGACTACAAAACGCATTTAAATTTGGGTCAGTTGCTTTCGACGTTCGTCAGAAATCAACTCCGGTTGGTTACTATGGCTAAAGGCCCCCACCCCCAACAATTATTAATAAGGCGCTGACCCTGTGGATCTCAAAATGAAACTGTGATTTTCTAACTTGTTACTGAGACACATGACGCGCAATGGAAATATACGATGATAATTAAAACACAACTATCCATCAATAATTAAAACAATTGTGTGGTAGAGGTAACTGATTGGTTCATATTTTGGGGTATTTATAAAAATAAAATAGATTCTAAAGAATGGTATATACTTATTCAATGACCACGGCCTTATTTTGTCAAGGAAAATGTAAAATATATCAACATTTACCGATGTATTAAAGATATTTAAGGGTCAAATGCAAGGCCCATAAAACAAATGTCGTTGTTTTTGTTCTACAACTGTGTTCAAAAGAAAATCATCGCACCCATGTCTCTAATCATATAATTAAAAGAAGACGGAAACAAAATAACAGATTATGGGTGTAATTTATGTGTGTAAACACCCAAACCCATTGCTGGGTACGATAGTAATAGCTTATTCATAACCAGAGTTGATTTTAAACACACAAGTAAGTTAATAATAACCAAAGTTATGTAGTTTGTTCATAATCATAATCAAAGAAATCTGTTTAAAATTTACGATAGTTCAGACAGTAGGTATTAACTTCTTAATGTATGTAAGATGTAAGGAAAAAAATCGAATAATATACATGAAGGCAGAACATGTTGGACTCGAAGAACAGCAATTGTCAATACTCATTCAATGTTATTAACCTTTAAACACTGCAATTACATGTAAATATGAGTACCCTAGTTCCCTGTCAAACAAATATGGCTCCTTAGACACCCCGCGCCCCCTAAAACCTCCTGCGTTAAGGGAATTATAGCCCTCAGTATTTTAGCACTGTATATTGCTATTCATACGATTCAGACAGTTTCAAGCAGTCCCGGATGTTCAGGCAGTTTTAGGCAGTCCCGGATGTTCAGGCAGTTTCAAGGAGTCTCGGATGTTCAGCTAGTTTCAAGGAGTCTCGGATGTTCAGCTAGTTTCAAGGAGTCTCGGATGTTCAGCTAGTTTCAAGCAGTCCCGGATGTTCAGCTAGTTTCAAGGAGTCTCGGATGTTCAGGAAACGAAATTAAATGGGGTTTAACGTCCTTCTTCTCCGCACTGACTGGGCTAATGAAGATGGCCGGTGCTAAGGGGTTAACAACTTGTAAAGCGTGTGTCGACTAAAAGATGGTTTGAAAAATTAAAAATAAACATAAAATACGTCACCTGCAACAGGCGGTAATAATCGTGTTATATCTGGTATCTTCATCTTTTTACGCATACCAATTAAAAATGGTGTTAAAAAACTAACAAGTTTTAAGAGTTCGATATTACGCCTGACCTCTGATTTATTTGGTAAATATGATTTAATAATTTCTTCATGCATCTGTAAACGTGTTTTAATCCGTTCGTATCCTGTATGGTCAATACGATTATCCAATAAACGAACAATACTCGACACAAGCCAATCAGAATCTACTAAATACATGTCTTTGTGGTGCTTTAATTGTTTTTGAAGAAGTGTTATTTTCATGCTCAAGTCTTCTGCATGACTCATAAAAAATCTCCTCTCTTCCATCATGTCCGAGTCTCCCGGTAAATCCATTGGAATTCGGTTGTATATATTTGTGTAATCTGGATCGGCTGTGATGTCAATTAGACCTGAAATACAGAATCGTTAAAATTTGATGTAACAGCCTACAAGAAAAGTTGCTGAGGCCACTAATGATCTCTGGGAATATATATTACTACAATTAGGGAACCACGCCGGGAAATCCTGATGAACTTTCTCAGCCAGCACCGGGATCGAAAACAGGACCTCCAGGTTAGCAAGTCAACATCTTACTCACTGAGCCACCATGGCTCCCAATTTATATTGTACTTTAAAACATGTGGATTATTCCAACATTCAGTATTCAGTCATCTGCCATAATCTGATTCCATTCTCAATTTGTGAAATATGGTTTTAACAGCAACTTACCAGCACTTGTAAATTCATTTAGAAGAGATTTCTTTGTTTCTGGTTTACCATGAGAGTCCACGTCTAAATTCATCCGCCATCTCTCTGAGAATTTAGTCCGTTTATCTTTTGGTATATAAGCTCCATGCCACATTCCCTTCATCATATAATCAACACTGACCATAGTCTGTCCAATTTTTGTGTCGATATACGCCGGGGCCAGCTGACACGAAGTACTCTGATCGAAATTAGCTTCCAGTGACAGTGTTGGGGTTTGATTTAAGACATATATTCCATTTATTAGTTCTCGAATGATTTGATGAACTTCTCGATAATCTAACGGGGTCACTGTCTCATCAACTGGCAGTAACAAAATTGATTTATTAGAGTTTGTGGGATTGACGTTGCTAATCAAACCGACGGGTGGGTCCGTGGGAAATTTAAAATCTTCGGTGGATAACATCCAATGTCGTGTGGAATATTCCAGTAATTCTTGGCACTCATAATTATCATAACGCTCAAAAAAACTGATGGCATTTCTGGCCATCAACGATATCTGCTGAGCTTCGTCAGAAGTTTGTTGCTCTCCAGTCGATGTCATGATGGATAAAATCTATGTTGTTTTGTTAGTCTGGAAATGTTTGTATAGTTTGGTGTTTCTATCTGATATTCATCTTAGAATCTGGAAAAAAATAATAGAATATAGAATAAATAAACTACAAACTCAAACCAGGCCTTTATGGCCATACCATATGGTGCCACAAGAAATTGTTAAAAAAACATTTGTTTTCATCTATGATTGCAAAGCAAATAAGACCAGCAAATTGAGCAAAGCCCACTTAATTTCCTCATTCAAATTGTAAATTCTTTATGTAAATTAAATTTTCAATAACACTAAATAAATTAACGCAATGAAAAAAACACTGCCCAAAAAACCTACTCCTAGTTGCTGTCTCAACAAATTGATTGCTTAGTCCTAGATCATTTTTAACTAAAATAGTTATTTTCGGATCACAGACTGCATAGTGATATTTTCAAAGTTTGTCTCAATTACGCACTTTCCAAATTTGACATTAAAATGAAACATGAATCATTGATGTGTTATTATTTCTAGGTCATATGGGCCTCAGACCTTATTACTTGTAGGCCTACAGCTAGCTACACAACAGTGTATAGTCTTTACTGTTTTACAAATAGTTCGACCGACAGTGCTGTGCCGTTTTCTTCGGCATGTGTCAATTTAGATTTTATATATTGTTTGTTTATTAAATGCAAAAATTGACTCACCTACTAATTCAATATGCATTGAAAAGGGTGATTTATGAAAAATTGAGCTTGTATACTGTTTTTTAAATATAATACCTGTCAGTATAAGATTTGTTTTCATTTTTCACAAAGCGTCGTAGTTTCCAAGCGCAACCAACCTCCATCTTGGATAGAATACAGAGCGCGCACCTGCTACCCTTAAATTCGCCGTAGTCGCGAATCTTTAAATAATTGTTTCTATAAAATGGCTGTGATATGTCTTCCTTCATATAAAATTTGATTATTTTATGGATTTATGTGATACGGTAATCTGTTCCATTCCGTCAATATTAAATGTTTTCCCAAATTAAAGACGGGCTGGAAAACCGAACAATTTTTTCTAAAGGGGAAGTAACTATTGTTTGTTGACAAAATTTCTAAATTGTTAGAAAACGTGGGCGCTAAACATGACACAAATTATCCTAAATAATGGCGTGAAGATGCCAATTATTGGACGTAAGTTAAAAAGACATAACATCACGACAGCTAGCCCCCGGTTTTAGAACAGTAAAAGGAATATCATGCACCTAGTTACTTTATCAACGGTATCTCACCGTTGCTGTTTGTTCCCATATATAATTAATACATTATGATTAACAACATAGTAGGCCTGCTAGTACTAGTAGTAGTAATACACATGTTGATGTCATACACCACCTCAGTTCTAAAGCTGTATTTTGGAATCCTAACCGTCAATTTTTGACCGTGATTCTTCTTTGTTCGCCAAAATGAAATCATTTCTGGACACATCTGACAAATTCATAATATTAATAATTCAACATTATTTTCAAGGAGAATTTTGCTATTCAAAAACACAAATTTTGAAATTGGGACACGAATTGCGGACCAAAATGCTCTTGAGCGCCATTTGTAATGAAGCGACTCGATGAACGAGACTAAACATACATCACAGGAGAATTACCGGGATAGACTTGAATAACCAGACACCAAAGACTGCCATTCTATTTGGACTCTTCGTGTATTTCGCCGAACATAACTGATTAGAAATTACACTAAAAACTGAAACGATTGAATGTGAATCAGTTTATATACATTCATAATACATTATTATATACTATTCAAAAAAAGTAGGGGATATTTGATTTTTAAGTGTTATTAAAGTCACCTAATGAAACTGACGAAGAAACAAATGACAAAATGAAATGAAGTTCACATTCATCGATTTATTCCAAATGATCGTTAGACTAAGTAAGGCACAGACTGACCATTATAAGGGTAAAATGATACCTGGGGTCAAACAGCAAAGTTACAACAGCATCACAACCAAGTCAGTAACGGGTAAATCCTCCTCTGTTTGCCAAACAAGCATTGATCCGACGTGGCATACTCCTAATGAGACGTCTAAGGTCATTTTGGTCCAGATTGTCCCATTCCTGTTGCAACGCAGCAGCAAGTTCTTGGACATTGGCAGGACGTTGTTGACGTTGACGTAACCTCTGTCCAAGCATGTCCCAGACATGCTCGATGGGGGAGAGGTCGGGACTCAGTGCTGGCCAAGGTAATGTGGTGATTTTCTGTTGTTGGAGGTAACCTGTAACGATCCTGGCCCTGTGACATCTTGCGTTGTCATCCTGGAAGATGAAACGGCGGCCATGACGTCGTGCGAACGGCACAACATGGACTGCCAAGATGTTGTCCCGGTAGTACTGGCCTGTAACACGCCCTGCAACAACATGTAAAGCCGTTCTTCCAGCAACAGTGATGCCTCCCCACACCATAACAGAACCACCCCCAAATCGATCATGTCTGATGACGTTAACGTTTTGGGAGCGCTCGTTTCGACGACGCCACACCCTCCTACGTCTGTCCAAAAAATCAACAGTGAACCTTGACTCATCTGAAAACATCACATTGCTCCAGCGTCGATTATCCCAGTGTTGACGATCCCTACACCAACGACGTCTTGCCTGAATGTGATGATCTCTCAAACAAGGGATCACGCGAGGACGTCGGGCTCGAAGGTGACCCCTATGCAGTCGATTCCGAATCATCTGGCCACTCACTCTCACACCAGTGTCTGTTTGAAGACGAGCGCTGATCTGATTTGCTGTGATGACACGATTTCTCAAGGCCAAGGTACGGATAAATCGATCCTGGGCTTGAGTTGTCGCCCTTGGTCGACCTGAGCGTGGTCTGTCCTGTACAGATTGTGTATCACGGTATCTGGACCATAGCCTGCTTATGACAGACTGAGAAACATTCATCGTCCGCGCCACAGCCGCCTGTGTTGTGCCGATCTGTAGCATGCCAAGGGCACGTAACCTTTAATTTTGGGTAAGCCGACGCATATCAAAATTTGTTTTCTGGTCACTAAAACAATTAAACTGATGTTTCCACCCTGGAATTCAATGCCACAATGACTGTAACATTCAAAGTCAGAGTCGTGCAAATCTTGGGTTGGACCCCCATGATGATCCCAAGCATCACCTGCATTCCATGCGGTAGCTATTGGTGCGTTTGGGCGTCACATGTAACTGGAAATGTTTCTTCTGTTAGGTTCTATAGTGACTTTTTTCGTAGTCATTTGCATATTTTAGTATTATGCCCCCAAAATCAAATATCCCCTACTTTTTTTGAATAGTATATATGTGTTGCATTTCATTTGTGTCCATTTCTAGGTGCCAAAGAATAGTGATTTAGCTCCTTTAAGTACATTAAAGCATTGATCGATGGCCCAGAGAGCTGATTATGGGCTTGTCATGTTAATAAATAATTAAATAATAATTTACCTCCTAAATATAATGCATCTTTAAGTAGAAAATAAATAAATATTTTGAAGACTCAAGAGGGACAACTCTGTCAGGGGTGTATTTTTAATGATTTTTTTCCCCAATTAGTTTGTACCATTTGATTTGCGTTTATTTAGTAAACATTGTTAACTTCAGTTGGAACGTTTAAGATTAAAGGGAGTGAACTGGTAAAGACTAGTTTAGAATCAGCTGTAGCCGCTGGATACAGAGCTATTGGTAAATATTTATTGTTACTGTCGATCATCGAAGGGGTACAAAATAAATTTGAGCTTCGGATTCTTTTGTTACTATAGATACTGCTGGCGTGTATAAAAATCTAATTCTTTTGTTACTCTAGATACTGCTGGTGTGTATAAAAATCTAATTCTTTTGTTACTATAGATACTGCTGGTGTGTATAAAAATCTAATTCTTTTGTTACTATAGATACCACTGGTGTGTATAAAAATCTAATTCTTTTGTTACTCTAGATACTGCTGGTGTGTATAAAAATGAGGTTGATATTGGAAGGAGTATAAACGATATTCTACCTCAGCATGGTTTAACCCGATCAGATATTTTTATTACAAGTAAACTAGGTAAGTGTTGTATAATATTTGGAGTAAAATATATTTGAAAGCACAGTATTCCAGACTACAACGCAAATATCGACTTTCCATCAATGCATTAAAAAGTAATCTTTTAAAAAGCATATTGCACTAAAAAGTATTTCTTTTTTTCAGGACCCAAAGATCATGGCAAGGAAAAATGTCGAGCTGCATGTTTGAAATCGATCGCTGATTTACAATGTGAATATCTAGATCTGTATCTTATACACTGGCCTGGAGGTCAAGGTCTTCAACCTAGCGACATAAAACATAAGCAGTTACGTCAGGGTAGTTGGCAAGCCATGGAAGACTTATATGAGGAAGGTACTGAAGGGTTTCACTATAACACTGTTGTTGGTGTCCACTAATATAACCCGTGTTATAGCCAGTCCTCTATATTTTATACTGAAGGGTTTCACTATAACACTGTTGTTGATGTCCACTAATATAACCCATGTTATAGCTAGTCTCCAATATTTTATACTGAAGCATTGAGAATATATGACTTGTATTTTTAGATTGAGAGTGAGATTATATAACTTGTATTTACAGGTAAAATTCGTGCTATAGGTGTATCAAATTATTTACAGAGACATTTAGAAGAATTATTGGAATATTGCAGAGTGCGTCCAGTAGTCTTACAGGTAGGCACGATTTACTTACACTTTTATTCAAAACAATATTCAATATTATGTATTTATATTTTAAAGTGGGAGGTTGGATGGTCGAATATTTAGCATCTGCACACTGTATCACAAGGTCTGTCATTGAGTCGATTGGCATGGTTTCAATTCCCCGGTTGTATGTGACAAGGAGTAGGGTCACCTATCCAACCTCATGGGTTTTCTCTGGGTCCTCTGGTTTCCTCCCACTGCTAAAGACCCCTATGCTAAGAAACACAGGCCTTATGACTGGTGAATACAGACCTTATGACTGGGTGAATACAGACTTTATGACTGGGTGAAACACAAACTTTATGACTGTGTGAATACAGACCTTATGACTGGGTGAATACAGACTTTATGACTGGGTGAATACAGACTTTATGACTGGGTGAAACAAAAACTTTATGACTGGTGAATAAAGACCTTATGACTGGGTGAGTACCGACTTATGACTGGGTGAACACATACTCGAGGATCTCATTTGGCAGTTTTTGCCAGTGAGTGAAAGTTTGACAGTGAGATATTTTATAGGTTGAATGATATAAACTATAGTGTGAGATATTTTACAGGTTGAATATCATCCACATCTGGTACAACATCAACTAGTAGAATTCTGTAAGAAAAATAAAATAACTTTTCAAGCGTATTCTTCACTTGGTACTTCTGATACAGAGAACAAGGTAAAGATGTATGTAGTTATCTTATTATCCTGCACTCAGTACATCTTATCATGATATCTTTATAAAACTTTGTACATAACATCCACCTATTTAATCATGTATGTATTTCCATGGAAACGTATTTGGCTTAGTTTTTTGGTATTCAAGGGTGCAGAATGTTGTATTTCGTTATGTTATTATTATTATTATTTTTTTTCAAAATCTGGAAGAGTTTTTGAACAGACCATGTACTGGGAAATGATGTGTTTGAGGTTAATGTGATCTGTGTGTGGAATTCTTGGTGCAATCTATTGACCCTTTGAAAACAAAAGATAAATATATATATAATCTACGCCTGTATGACCTCTGATGTCACCTCTCGTGCACTTTTTCTATTATTTTTAACTTTTTGCTTTTCTTTTTTCTTTTTATGCAGCTTTTAAAAGATGAAGTAGTGAACAGGATAGCAAAAAGTTTATCTAAAACATCAGCCCAGATACTACTTAGATGGGCTGTACAACAAAACATAGGTACATTATTTTCAAATAAGGTTTTATATTCCACTTTTCTGGAGCAAGCTGACTAATGAAAACGGGCGTACACAATGCTGTGAAGAAATGTCTATTCTGATCGAGCCACCCTGGCTTCCTCAATGATCAACGCATTTCATATATACTCTTCAAACAAAGTAGGGGATATTGAAATGCAAATTCCTATGCAGGTTGCGATATAAATAGTCATGGACATTTGACATGCTTTGAGAGTATGTTCACAGATGAAGAACTTATCGCCCCAACAGAACCACCGTGCTAAATGTGCAACACGCAATAGCGTCATACACGGGGGAGGGGTTCATTGTCAAATTTGACACTTCAAGGAAGGGTTGATGAAAACTGCCACTTGCTGGTTTATCCTATCCATGTTTGCTTTCCTATCGGTTCTTGTATAAGATTGACTGTTTAGCGTATCTTTTCTTTAGTGTGTTACGTTTAATTTGATTGGGAGACGTGTTCGTCGATGTCAAAGTCAACCGACAACACTGCAAGAATTGGTCGTGGCACTGCAAGAGGAGTGGGTCAGATTGCCCTAAATCGTGATTGGACGGTTGATTAGGAGCATGCCACAACGAATTGCTGAATGTCTGAGGATTGGTGGAGCAATTACTCATTATTAAGACAAAAATCAAAAACGTCCATTTTCACTTTTGACAGTGTATCTCTTTGCGAGTGAAATTGGGCCGTCAGATAAGCCACCCATATGAACTGTCTATGTCCATGTGAAGGCAATAGCAGGAAAATGCATTTGTGGCAGTTAAATTTTCAATATTTTCTTCCGACGGTCTAGTCTCCTTGAACTGTAAATGATTGATTGGCTGACTGGAAATCGAGTCAGCCATCCAAGTTAGGCTGTATATTAGACCACTTTGAAGTTGCTGTATTCTCAGATTGTAATAGCAGGAAAATACAGAAGACCATTAGGGTCAATCAGATGAAAAAAAGAATTCTGATTATCTTGTCATTACAAGATAGCTATCTTGTAATAACAAAGTAGTTATCTTGTAATTATAAAATAATCAGAATAATTTTTTTCATTTGATTGACCCTAATGGTCTTCTGTAGGAATACTTGTCTGTGGTCGTCAAATTTTCTTTTGGCAGGGCAGGAGGTGGGGGGCCCTCCGCCTCTTGCAGATGACCGGTGCCGCCTCCTGTAACCTGAAATTTTTCAGGCATTTCAGGTTTTGCCCCATCCCCACAACTTGATACAGCAGATTCAGATTAAAACCGAGTTTTTGTCAATAAAGTTTATTTTTTTGATTATTTTCCTACATATGTGATATATTTGTATATTGTAGGTGTTATACCTAAATCAACTAACATCAACCATTTACAAGAGAATATTGATATATTTTCATTCAGTCTATCAGATGATGATATGAAGAGTTTAACATCACTCAACCAATCACAACATTACTGTTGGAATCCAGAATGTGTTTTATAGTGTTGGTATAGACAATATACATACAATATAACTGGGATGTCTTTCTAGACACATTACTACAAAACATTACAACCACTCAGTTGTTGTCACCCCTGTTCATCTGTTGCTTGTGGACACTCTAGAAGCCAGTCAAATTTTAATCATTTCTGACAATTACTTCATGGCTTATTACTCGTCGTAAATACTCACATTCTCTTCAACAGAGGGGGGTTGGATGGGTAAATGGTTAGCGTGTGCTCATTGTATCATAAAGTCTGTCATTGAGTCAACTGGTGTGGTTTCGATTCCCCTGTTGCACGTGACAAGGAGTAAGGTCGCCTGTCCAACCTCGTGGGTTTTCTCCGGGCCCTCCGGTTTCCTCCCACTGCTAAAAGACCCCTACACGTAAGCGAATTATTGAAATAAAATTAAACCATATGTTAGTCCCGAAATGACCTAGTTTGTGTTGAGTGGATGTTAAACCCCATTTCTCTCTCCCCTCAACAGAATATATATGCTACAACCCGTGTGGACTGCCCGTAAAACTTAGCCAATGTTGGTGTATGTTACACTGCCTGGCAACCTACCTTTTAAAATGTTAATGAGTTGATCGAAACAACGATTGTCAGAAACTGTCACCTTTATGTCTGGACTAATCAAATAAAACTACAGGACGAATTCATAGATTAATATTCTGGGGGGTTGGTCACAATATACCTGTCACATAGCCAGGTGAGTTAAAATGACGTCTGCATCACAACTTAAATGAACCTACTCGATCTGTCCAATATTCATTATTCTCATAATTTTTTTTTAAAATGATGTGGCAAGTTGATCGGTGGTGTACTTTCTGTACAGTATTATGGCACCATTTCACATAGAGGGGAGTTGGATGGCCGAATGGTTAGCATGTGTGCACTGTATCATACGGCCTGTCATTGAGTCAACTAACGGTTTTCGATTCCCGGTTGTATGTGACAACGAGTAGGGTCGCCTGTCCAACCTCGTGGGATTTCTCCGGGTCCTCCGGTTTCCTCCCACTGCCAAAGACCCCTACAACGCACAAGCAACAGAGAAGATGGCTTGATAGCTTCATGCTTAGTTATGGTGTACCTCTAGATGTGCAGTCTGGGGAGGTTCTTGAGTTTTGGCCACCAACCACTACACAAAAAACAAACACACTTTCCGACAGTAAGCAGTGGTATTGTTAGAAAAATAAGTTTGTGTCAGGCATCTTGTATCCTTCTATTGTCCTGTTAGAAAAACTACTTTTTTTTTTCAAGGCAGTAAACCAAAAAAGCTGCTCCCAGAAAAGTGCAGCCCGGGACGGACTCCCCCCAGACCCCTCGCCCTGCTAATGTGGTAGTTAATGGAGGGGAGGTTATCAATAAAACAAGTCTTCTATTCATTACATTATGTATTTTATTTATTTTCCTTTTCTCAACAAACATTATTCATGTGGTTAGAGTTATCTTATCTTACAGGTCAATATACAAACACAGTCATTTATGTTAAAATGGAGGCTAGAATTCAATTACTGTCACAATTATTTAAAATCAGTGTGCTGAATAATACGAGACCTTCACACAGCTATTTATAATCAGTGTGCTGATTAACACAGCTACAGTATTTCTGAAAGTTCTCGACCCCTTTAATTGATTAATCTGTAGGAAATCTACGGTGCAAGGTTTTGGTGGAGGGTCAATGTTCTCTAACAACTCGGCTTTCATACAATGATTATAATTGAAATAATAAACAGAGCTGATCCTTAAACATAATATAGTCTGGTATATCAAGTCATTTGCTACTGTGCAACAACTTGATTATCCAGTGCAGTAAATGAATTCTAGCCCAATGAATTGAACATTGTATTGTTTATCTTTATGGAATTTGTGTATACACCAGGTTACAAAATGTTGCTAACTGGTCAAATTGTCACATATTTTATTTGCTACAGATAAGACACTACACAAAAACTATAAATTTGAGCATATTTAAAATGTGTTCTGACTTTTATTTTATGGCTTGTAAACTGAGTGACATAACCTCTTCAGTCGGTGCCAGGCAAATATAATCAAAACGTTGCTTTGTCAAAAAGCAGAACACAAAAGTTATATTTACATACACTGAAACAAGCTGCTAACAAAATGTTCAATTTAGTATGAGTGTAAGTCTTCATTACATCTATCTAGAAATCTAGTCAGCAGTGTCAGTGGGTTAGCTTTATTGTAAGGAAGTGTAAATTAATTAGTGACAATTTATATGATTTTATTATTATGTACAATATTTGAACACTCCTAGTAAAAAATAAATACATTTGATATACCATAATATATTATCTTATTGTAATGTTATCATCATAGGCAGGAATAACAATAAAACTATAGGGGGGAGTAATTCACACAGTTCTCTCCCCTTATGAGTTTAGCAAGGTGTCTTTGTTCCAGAATAAAACAAAATGCAAGTACATGAAGACCTTTATAGTGCTAAAGAATGTTTTAACAACCAAGTTTATTCATGTGCTTAGACTACATTAGACTCGATCATCCAGATCAATTCGATTTCTTATTGGCTGTAACTGGATAATAGAGTAAAATTGGGCTTGGGGAGGAGATCAGACCAGTTTAGGATATCATTTCTACCCCTGTAATGTCAACCTCCGACCACCCCAACTAGATAGCAGGCTCATATTCATAACGTAATGAATAGTAGCCTGCTTGGGGTCTAATGCTCATAAACTTGATTGTCAAGACTGATTAATGAACACTTGTGTCCTATTGGTTGAAGCAGTTATTAATTATAATGTGTTAGGAGAGTGATAGACAACAGGCCTGTATTATACAGAAATGAGTGTCTATGTGAACAAGTGCTTGTCTACAGATATAGGCAATATAATTATTGACAAAATCTTAAACTAAAATATTTTAAGAATGCAGACTTTCCATTGGTTGAAAAGTTAAAACCCTAGTATAAATATCAGCTCTAAGCCAATGAAAAGGTTGCATCGTTTAAAATAGTTTTGTGAATAAGATCCCTGGTATAATTAGTGGAATGGGAAAATCAAACCTTTGGTATTTTTAATATTACACGTTTAAACAAATGTATTGAATTGTGTGGCTATCAAGTGTGTTATTTCGGCTAAACACCATTAGTCCATAACAGTAGGACGTTAAACACAATTAGCACAATCAGAGCAGAACAGTAGGACATTAATAACCATTAGCCCAGAACAGTAGGACATTAAACACCATTAGCCCAGAACAGTCGGACATAAAAGACCATTAGCCCAGTAAACGTTATACCCCATTTGAGTATGTAGAGAAATGTGAGTTACATCTCAACACTGACTTTGTCTGTAGGTATAGAATATAGTTGTCACCCCACAAAACAAGTCAAAGTAATTTAAGACCTACATGTAAATCAATGTGGTCTCAACGAATATTTTAATTGAAACATGGTATGATATACAAGAAAACAGCCCAGGTACATGCTTTAAATTATATCTCCATGCTTTGACATCTACTGGAAATTGACTTGAGCTAACAAGCCAAAGCGTAAATTATGTTTAACTTCAAGGGGACATAACATCAATGGTTGGTCTACATGTATATACGACCGAGACAGGTATTTACGGAAACCTTGCTGAAAACTGTTGGTCTGACCCCAGCCTATTCGTGAAACCTGTGAAACCTGACTGAACGTAAACTAAAGTTTGATGAGGTCCCAATGTAATATGACATCATCATCCATCAAATGTTTTTTTTGGTAGAGTATATTAAATATTTTGGGTTTTTGTTTTGTAGAATTGAACGATTTTATCATCTTTGTATAACCATAGTCGTTAACTTATCAATACTACTTTATGATACACAGGGGCCAAAATATTGTCAGATGTCGAAGTCCACTCAACACAAACTAGGTCATTTCTCGACTAACATATGGTACAGTTTTATTTCAATAGTTTGTTTGCTTATAAGGAGTAAACCTACAAGATTCTACTTCTCGTCAAGTAAAAGCTAGCGATCGAAATCACACCACTTGACTCAGTGACACCCCTTATGATCTACAAATTTTAAGTGTGCCAGGAACGGTACCTGGCACGGCACGGTTAATTTTTTGTAGTGTAAACGGGTCAAACATAAGCGTGCTGTACTGAGTACCATGCCAATCTGGCCCACTGAAATGAGGTGGTCTCGGCACGGTACCAGGCGCGGCACTGCGCTGTTAAATTTTCTTAAAGTAAACGCTATCCGGTCTGAGCACGGTTTCAGTACGGATAACTGCGCATGTGCGAAACGAACCTTGACCTTTTTTACCCGCAAACTTTGACAGTTCTGTCATCAGTTCTGTCAAAATGGCTACTCAAACTAAATCCACCATCATAATTGTTTTCATCTGGGTAATTTGTATAGGGACAGAAATTAACTTTTCTGTGAAGAGTTCCACATTTGGCGTGCTTTGCAAGGTTCTGAGACCGGTTATTTTAGAGTAATGTGAACAGGTCAATTTCTTGAAATTTATTGCGGCCTGGTACCGTGCCCAGAACGGCACGCTTATCACGGCCAAGTGTAAACGGGGCTATACACACTGGATCACTCCGCTGCCCCCCCCCCAACCAAATTAAAAAAAGCATTCAACGGTGGATAATATCAGTGAGCAGTTACAGACTGTGGTTATATCAAGATAAAAATATATTAATTATTCTAGTATTTCTCACCACTCGTATCAAACATTCTATAGAATTTATATCACACGCTATAAACATTCTCTCCCTGTCTAATATCAACACACACACACACACCTCTTCTGCATTAACAGCATACAGGAGAAGTTATTAGTACTAATGGGGGATAGCTTATTGTACCTATCTATGATCACAAACAGCAACCACTTGATGCTCTCAGTGACAACATGTAGTAAGAGTACACTCCCATCTTCAAATGAAGGTTCTGAGCTATATTTTACCTCAACTTATTAAAGGAGTTAAAACTCTTTGATTTAGGTCCAATTAAAGTAGTATAGGGTTGATCAGATGTGTTATTTCTATGGTGATAGGACAAGCTCACACAATTAAATCTATTTGTGATAGGACAAACTCTACAAAATTAAATCTTTGTTTTGAAGTGGACTTATTTACTAGGTTTGGTTATAATTTGACTTATAAAACACAACACCTGTTTATCTAAACAATCAGATATATCTCATCACTGACTTTATCTATACAGGTAATCAGACTGGCTTTATACAGGTAAAATGTTCAAATTGTCATCCCACAAAACAAATCAACATATTACATGTAAAAATAACATTGCAGTTAGGATTGTAGTTGAAGCCAAACCATCATATCATTAGTAACAGATGAAGCCAGGTCATTATATCATCAGTAACAGATGAAACCAGTTCATTATAACAGATGAAGCCAGGTCATTATAACATCAGTAACAGATGAGGCCAGGTCATTATAACATTAGTAACAGATGAAGCCAGGTCATTATAACATCAGTAACAGATGAGGCCAGGTCATTATCATCAGTAACAGGAATCCACACGCCATGAGATGAAAGGAAATAACACACTTTATTTTTTTGTAACCACTCGCTTTAATCCCGATCAAAATTCTACGAAAACCGTTTTGGAAGATTTGGGTCCATGCATCAAGGGGTAGATTTTTTTACATTATCCAATCACTGGACCTGCCATTAAAATAAAATTTAAAGCAGGGTTTTTTCTATTTCTATTATCACTCACACTTGTTGAACTTAAAACGAAGCATTAACTTAATTATATATTATTAGAGTTCTCTTTACACGGAATTCATTCTGTACATCTTCCATTCCTTCCCTTTATCCACAGATACAAAACAAGGTCCTTGCAATGCATTAATCTCTGGCACAATAAATAGCTGTTTGGTGTAACATAAAACCGAAAGCAATGCTCAACTGAACAGCCGTTCTGTGTAATGTAATACTAATCAATTTGTCAAGCAGTGCTTCATTCTCTTCAGGTAATGTTAATCAATCAATTATAGAGTTTAAAATAGAAGATGTTAAACTATTAATCGTCTCATGTCGGAATACCAAACGCTGTTCGCGTCTGTTTTATTTTTTCTAAACGTTTTACAAGATGTTTGTTCTGATTGGTTAATTCCTCTACTTGTGTCTGGGCCTCACGTAACTGGTAAAAGAAAGAAAAGAATCGATTAATAAACAGGTGACAAACATTTCTCAAGAGAGAAATCTACCCTATACTATTACTAGGTCATGTAGAGAGAGAAATCTACCCTATACTAACTAGCTCATGTAGAGAGAGAAATCTACCCTATACTATTACTAGCTCATGTAGAGAGAGAAATCTACCCTATACTAACTAGCTCATGTAGAGAGAGAAATCTACCCTATACTAACTAGCTCATGTAGAGAGAAAAATCTACCCTATACTATTACTAGCTCATGTAGAGAGAGAAATCTACCCTATACTAACTAGCTCATGTAGAGAGAGAAATCTACCCTATACTATTACTAGGTCATGTAGAGAGAGAAATCTACCCTATACTAACTAGCTCATGTAGAGAGAGAAATCTACCCTATACTAACTAGCTCATGTAGAGAGAGAAATCTACCCTATACTAACTAGCTCATGTTGAGAGAGAAATCTACCCTATACTAACTAGCTCATGTAGAGAGAGAAATCTACCCTATACTAACTAGCTCATGTAGAGAGACAGGAGAAATATCTACTCGATACTAACTAGGTCATTTTGGGATTAACATAAAGATGTATCTTTAATTCAATGATTGTATACAGCATAGCAATTCTTAAATAAGAAAGATGCTGAAACTATGCTTTCTCTTTTAAAAAAGGTAGGGAGTACAATAATTACTATGCAAGTAAAAAAGAACTGCTATGCAAATAATCTTAATTTGTTCTGTACACATGAATCAAAACTTCCAAATGTAGTGAAGTAAAAACTTAATATAGACAAACCCAGTTGTGACAAAAGATAATTACCCATAAACAATCTAGATAGAATGTTTGCTACAATGAAGTTTCATGCACACAAAATACTTGGGTTTTTGGAGGGGTCAAACTTGGAGAATTTTGCCCAGAAAGCAATGTTTCTGTCTACTTTTCATGGGATTCCCATTGTCAAGGGTTTATCAGATTCCCCTGTCAAGGGTTCATGGGATTCCCACTGTCAACGGTTAATTTCTGTGCACTCTAGTGTGTACCTGGGTTGTCCCCCTCTTTCTACCTAGTAATAACACATCATACCTCTCTCTGTAGCCGTCGTTTCTCTGTCTTTAATTCATCTTCTAATTTTTCAGAAGATTCTGAATCTGTTTTATATCGTTTAATCTGTGTTTCTAACCGGTTTACCTGTAACAAGAAAATCTTCCTTAAATATCCTCGTTCAACATTAAATATCATTGTTAAACCTTAAAGATGGAGTATGTATCATTTAGATAATGGCTGACAGTTCTCGCTATAATAGTTAACAAGCGGTTGCCATACAAAATACACCCACATTTTGCAAGAGATGGACAGAGAACAAGCTCAAAAAATGAAGCGATTTTTTCCGATGGCCCTTGATTTAAAGGAAATAATCTTAGGTATTCAAGAAAAATCAATAATCATGTACAAGGTTAAGTGTAGGGTTGCACAGGTTAATTTAAAACTAAACAGAGTGCCCTAACAATTATATGCTACAGAAAGTTCTACTTACTGTTCCCTCTAATGTTGCTAAATCTTGATCTGCTTTCTGTAACTTACATTTATAATCATGTATTTGTTTACTAGCTTCACCTGTAAATAGATGACAATTATAACAATCACTGTATTATAAAAGACAAGTTACATGTTCTCAATCTACAAAATCTCTTCCTACCAGCTATCTCTGCAGCACCTAAGTTCAAGCCTGAATCTGACACTGTATTTTGCAATCACGCTAGCATATATTGAGTATGTCACCACTGTGATTGAATATGTCATGTGCACTTCTGGTCTACTACTACATCTATATGAATTACTTACATTGTACTTGTTGTTCTAGTCTACAACTATATGAATTACTTATATTGTACTTGTTATTCTAGTCTATTACTATATGAATTACTTACATTGTACTTGTTGTTCTAGTCTACTACTATATGAATTACTTATATTGTACTGTCTAGTCTACTACTATATAAATTACTTACGTTGTACTTCGTATAATTGTTGTTCAGGTCCGTTAGCTAATGGTACGTCTGATGATTTCTCCGTTTTCTTAGATTTACTTTCTTCTACTTCATTCTTTAATTTCTGGATCTAGAAATAATAAATTCCACAAAAACATTAAAAATATTACAAAGAAAAAAATCCATTATTAAAATGATCAAAAAAAACCCCTGATATTACAATAATCACCAAAAAAAAACCCATTAAAATTATCACAAAACCCATTCAAATTATTATAAAAAAGATAAATATCATAATTATCACAAAAAACCCCATTCAAATTATCACAAAATACATTAAAATTCATGCTTCATTTAAATATGTATTTCAGACTTTAACATGTGTTGACAGGTACAGCTCCTGTCAGGGTTCGAACATGTGACCTTCAGTCTGCTACAAGGGCTGCGAACTCCTTCAATTCCAACAGCTTCACACCATATTTATAACCAGTTACACGTTGTGCAATACACCGTAACAACTTACCTCACTAGATAATTGTTTCTTCTCAGCAGCTAATGTCCGTAATTTCTCATCTAAAAATAAAAAAGGTACAGACATTGATTTAAATAAAATTATAAGGTAATATATCGCCTGGTATAAATAAGTTCCACAACTTGACATGTTCACACAAACCAGTATTCACAGATATTCTTGTTGTATTATCACATATTTTTCTTTTAGACAATAGTAAATTAAAGGGGAATTATTAAGATTATATAAACTGCTGACAGTTCTTGCTATAATATTTTGCAAGAGATGGGCAGAGAACAAGCTAAAAAAAAAATGCATGATTTTTCGTACAATCGGGGAGCACAATCCATGAAGTTATGGTCCGATATGCATGAATATCGAAAGGAACCGAGATCTTTGGGACATAAACACATATTTTAAGTTTTATCACAGACAAAAATTGTGACCTCTAGAGGGTCCACTACCCTGGTATTACATACTTTTACACTATTTACGTACAAGGAGAAGTCATTTTGTCAGGCAGTTTCATTCTGATTTTCACGAAATTCAAACTCAACCGTCATTATGGTGTAACAGTGATATATGGAAACATTTTTTGAAATCAGATAACCAGCGGTTGCCATGCAAGAGATGGATAGAGAACAAGCTAAAAAAAAATGTGATTTTTTATACAATCAAGGGCCAAAATCCATTAAGTTATGGGCTGAAATGAGCAAATGTCGAAAAGACCTGAGATCTTTGGGATATAACCATATATTTAAAGTTTCATCAAATATTTTGATCTCTAGAGGGGTCACAATCTATTTGCGTACAATGAGCGGCCATTTTGTCTGGCTGTTTTGTTTCGATTTTCCCGAAATTCAAACTCAACCTTCATTATGGTGTAACAGTGATATATTTAAACCGTTTTTAAAATCAGATAAAAATTGTGACCTCTAGAGGGACCACAAGATAAAAATGTGATTTTTCGTACAATCACGGGTCATAATCCAGAAACCTAGATCTTTAGGTTATAAACATACATTTCAAGTTTCATCTAAATCAGATAAAAACTGTGACCCCTAAAGTGTCCACAAGCCCAAAACACGATTTTTTGTACAATCAGGGGTCATAATTCATTAAGTTGCCGTCCAATACATGCCAATATAAAAAGAACCAAGATCTTTTGGAGATACACCTTATTTCAAGTTTTGTCAAAATCCGATAAAAATTGTGACCTGTAGAGTGTCCACAACAAATTATGGATGGATGAACATCCGGACAGACAGGGGCGACGACAATAATATACGTCCACATGAAAATGTGAATCCCAATATATATAAAGAGAGTGGAATCCAAAACCATTTGATTAACATAAACTGAGATGGGATCCAAGTCATAATAATCTTGACACAAAATGACCAGCATCAGACAGGTTGTACCTTACAATGTCTGTGACAGGTGTCTCATTTCCAGGCTTGCTAATAAGGACTTGAAAAATATGAAAAACTGTCGCCATGATCAATGCAATTTAATAGATTTGGGTTAAAAGTCTTCTCTCAAAACTCAACTTCATTGCTAAAATTCCAGTAAAATATTTTGTTCAGCTTTTGTCCCTTGTCTGTTTTATTCAAGATATAGATGTTTATATTATATTGTTTATAAAGTGTTAAATATTAGTAGTTTTACTGTAGTAGGTTTAAAAGAAAAGGTGACAAAAGCTGTCCTTGTTCCACCCACACAAACATGTGGTAGACATTATAACATGTTTATTCTAAAAATATCTTCACCATACACTGTTTAAATATATTTAATAATGAACACCTAACCTTCATTTACAAATTCAACAAATGTCAAATGTATTTTGTCTTTTAACAAAGTCTAATTTTCCAGGATGACTTCTCCATTACTAATTGAAATAACATGTTAGATCCACCCAAGACCATGGTCTGTATACACTCCTTTATAAAGCTAATGGTGGCTAGGTGAGAATAGCACTGGCTCAATAATCAGTAAGTCCAAGGTTTGATCCGGGGGGGTGGCGGCCAACAAAGTTCCTGAGAATTTTCCTGCTTGGTTTCCCCTTACTGTGGTAAAAAATGAAGGGGACCTAGGGAGGAAGTCGAGTGTCTATAGTCATATGCATCGGGGTTCTGTGTATACCACTGGCATTTCCTTTAATGATCCCCAGGCAATATTTGGCACTGCTCACAGGGTGACATAGCGTATGCACATCTTCATTAGCCCAGTTGGTCCAGAAAAGCAGGATGTTAAATACCATCTCATCCCATTACTACTAAGATTTCAGAAGCAGGGGAGCTACATAGTTAAAAAAAACTCTGATGTTCATGAGCTTAGTCATGATCTGTGTAGAAAATAAAGAGTTTTACAGTACAGTGTATATCAATATAAGTAATGATATCCTACAGCCACGCCCACATCCTGCTAATTTACTTCAGTATATCCACATGTCTATACACTGTATCACTTTATAGTCACATATACCATACTTTATATACCACACTTATATAAACACATTGTTTATATGTTACTATAAAATACATGCTGAATACCATGTTATCAGTCACATCTTCAATGTCAATTATGTTTTCTCAGTAAAACTAATTAGGAAGTCGACCATTTCAAAGTGTGACAACCTCCTACTATGTTGACTGACACCCAATACTGTGTTATGACTGGTCCATTTTAACGATTAGGCCTACTAAACTCATGAAAATTCATGAATGACTCAAAATTAGTCTGCTACACTTTTCAAGGTCATTTCTTAATGCATAGTGGCTTGGTAAACTTCCAATTAATTAATTCAGATATTTTGGGGTCGAGTTATTTTAACAAAAAACAAAACTCAAATTATCTTTTTTTATAAAATAATATTTTATTCCAATTATTTCTAAAGCCAAGATTCAAGGAGATTTTTTTTTTCATAGCCACTATGCATAAAGAAAATATATACTATATAGATATATCTAAATATCTTAATAAAAATAACAAGCTTTAAATATACTCAATTTACATGTTTTGGGTCCTCAAACTTATAGAATCTGTGAATTTGTGTGGTGCCATTACCCGTTCTTCAAAAAAAAGGTAACGGGGAAATATATTAAATTACATTTAATAACATCCAGTTGACCGATTTAAAACAGATGATAATTTTGATCAATCATCAAATAAAAAACCTCATACATGTACATCTACTTGTGATGAGCATGTACACATTGTGATGAGGTAAATCAAATTATTCCATGTGTTGAGGACCCATATTAACATTTAACACTTCAATCGTATTTAAATATAAAATATAAAATAAATCTGTTTAAAAATGAATGTGTGTCCTTGATACAATAATAAAAAAACATCCAATATAAAATATAAAATGTTTTTAACATAAATTCATGAAATGCTATATAAAATATCTGATATCATTATATTTCTTAATTGTAACTTGTTTAATTAGGGTGAAAATGTTAAATTGGATTCATCTGATTTATTGCGTTATTTCAATTAATCTTATCAAGATACAAAGAGAGAGAGATCGTTTTAACGTCCAATTGACACAAAGTAAGTCAGTTCAGGACTAACAAATGTTTCAATTTTATATCAATAATTTGCTGGTGTGTTGGGGTCTTTAAATTAGCTGCTGGAGGGAACATGTGGCCCGGAGAAAACCTACAGGGTTGGAAAGGTGACCCTACTCCTCATCATGTACTCGCAGGCAGGAAATCAAGACCATGCTACTTGACTCAATTATAGATCTTATGATCTAAATTACAAGGGGTTAAAGTTTACACAACTACCCAATTCACCAATTAGGATAGAACAATTATGATCTAAATTAAAAGCCGTTAAGGTTTACGAATACCCAATTCACCAATTAGAATGGAACAATTATGATCTAAATTTATCTTAGCTTTATTATTTAATTAAATTTTCAATCATTTAAATATCGCTACATTTTCTTTAATCTTTAATAAGGAAATCACAATGTTCATTTTAAATATTGCCAAAATATATTTTTTTTAACCTTGAAGTACCAAGATATTGACTATGTTTTTAAGTTAATTTCACTGTCAGACAGTTGAAACTGGTCAATCTGAGTGAAAAACGAACCCTGATAGAAAGATATTCATTCAAACATTACATTAAATACAATCACATTTCACCCATATTAAAAACAGTAGGTTAATACATCAGTATATACAACTATCAATAGAGATAGTTTGAGGAATGGAGGAGACAAGACATCTAGAGATTAAATTATTGTATAACAAAATACAGTTGTATAATTTATTGATACTGAAGACCGGGGGTGGTGGATTAAGGATTGATAAAACCCTAATAACAAAACCAATGATTAATCTTGATGCTAAATGAAAGTACTGTCCATTTATTCTTAATGTATGAACAATTCAAAATATTTCTTACGATTTCTTCTTACAGGCCACATTAATTCACCCCGTCCCTCCCACCCCCACCCCTATAGGATAATATACCCCAAATAGTTGTAAGACCTGATTCTAAACTAATAACTATTTTATTAAGAAGAATTATCAGACCAGTGATGGTGTATATTTTGATATGTGAGATTATGCCATGGATTATTATACTTATTGACATGGTTATAGGTTAGTTTAATATATCACAGTTATAAATCATATACTATATATGATTATCATAGCACTTTATTATTAATGAGTTACATTGTTATATATATATATATATATATATATATATATATATTATTTATATACATTGTACGACACTCTATAATTACTGAAAGGCTATTGGTCATATTATCAGGATGGAACCACCAAGCAACTAATTTACCTTCTACAACAATTTTGGTCCATCTTCATTAGCCCAGCCTGGGTCGAACAGTAGGACATTAAACAACATTTCATTTATCAGAATGGAACTAATAAATGAGTATATTTGTACAAGTATTGGCTACTAAGGTTTTACTCAAGTTTACTATATTGGTTTGTAACCAATGCCAATGAGGTTACATTAATTGAATCATACACAACTGTAACCCATAATCTATCCACAGTTAAAAATAATGTTGTTTAAAAAACAGACAATCAATTGCATCACCTTAATAACTTGAAACAAACATGATGGTAAAACTAGATAAACTTATACTGGTTCATTTTATACTGGTTTGGTTACATTCAACACATATCTTCAGAATGTTTTCTAATCTTTTTTTTTTTGCTTATTATTATAAATAATTACTGTAAATTATAGTAAATAAATTATTTCATCCAGGTTTAAATCTAGAAATGTTTTGTTACATGTTTTAGCAGAAAATAAACAAGCATTAAATTTGTGCCTTTCAGAATTTAAAAGTAGCTCTATCTTCATTACAGAAATTGATAATCATTATTTGAAGATTGAAAACAAGTAGACTACTGATGAAAGCAGATAAAAGTTCAATCTCAATTTTAGGTGGCTATGCAAAAAAAAATAACAAAAGGTTTTTTAGCATGGTGGAATCCTCACACTAAAAGTCGTGTCTCAATAAGTTTTTAATATGTTAACTGTGTTTTTATTTACCAAGAATTAAGCTGTTTGGGAACAAATATTTTTTTTTTCTGGGGAAACATTATACAAAGTAATTTCTTTTTTAAGGAATTCAATGAAATTTTGTCAATGAGCACTTACTATTCTATTGTCCTTAACTTCAATGCAAGTTTGAATGAAAATGAAAATGTTTTTTTAAAATGATGGCCAAGGATAATAAAGTTTTCTTCAGGTAGGGGGATATAATGTAAAAGTAAACCAATTGACCGGACGTAAAACTCTCCAAGAATGTATACAAATTATGTTTGAAATAAAACAAAACAATAATAATGAAATAAATTTGAAGCCCTCACCATTGTACATATATATAAGTACAGGTGACAATTTAAAACCTTGTGGATGTTTGACAAGGGATTGTTAATGTGTAATTAATAAAGAAAATGTAAATTAATAAAAAATAAAGTGGAATATAGTACATGTATTATTGGAGCGTCCTGTTTAAAGCAAACATGTTTTTATAATCAATGACAAAAGACTGTTAAAAAAAATAAATAAATAAATAAAAGGCAAAATAATTCTAATTAAAATTCAATATTGTTTGTATTAAACTAAAACTGTCTTGAAATAAGGGGTTTTTGAACTACGAATCTGAAACAATCGAAAACCTATTTTAAGGCTTAAACCTGGTAAAATTTGAAATCCTTGTTAGTACAGATTTATTTTGACTCCAGCTTGATAACAGTTAACGACAAGTTTTACACTGTCTGATAAACATATCCGTGAACACATTTCAGAGATTTAAGTACAAATGTACAATTTATCTATTTTTTTTATTATTATGCAGTATTGTGATATTGTGTAGCTTCAGATATCAGTAAAAAGGTAAGCTATGTAAAAATTAGAAAAATGAAAACATTAAATTCTAATCTAGTATAAATCGAGAAGAAGTAGATGGGGGAAAGAGGAATTACGTACCAATGCTACAATCGTCTGTTTAAAAAAAAAAATATAAAATTACAAGAAAAAAAATTCAGAAAGATAAATAAAAGTAAAAAATGGAACACTAAAAATAAGAATTAAAGTATTTTAAGATTGTCTGATATTATTGGACTGTTGTCTACTTTCGTCGGAATTTATATTTACAAAGGAAGAAAGTTAACATATAATCACAGGTCACCTATGTTTATTATTGGGCACCGTCCCCAGGGTCATTATATTTCATTTCAATATATGTTACACCATGATGATTATCACATAACGGACTAGTTTAGACACGCCCCCCTCCCCCCAACCATTATGTCATTGTATATGCTGTTGTTTACCTACTTATCCAATGAAATTGTTTGTTTTATTTCACAGTATTGGGCTATACTATTTTACATGGATGAGAATTAGGCATTGTCTCCAGTGAGTCCACAGATTAAAAAGAGTAATTTGACAGAGTAGTTATTACATATTGTAGAGTGAAGTAGTAATAATATCCTGTTACATGAAGATGAGAGTTAGTTCTTCTGTTCTATTTAAGTACTGGTAACTATTTAAGTACAGTTATCTACTGACTATGTTTGGGTTTGTTTTTATGACAAGTCAATCTACTATTTTAATAGTTAACTACTGACTATCCAAATACGAATATGAAATAATGGCTTCATATAGTTATATAATATTACATATATGACTCTATAACAGTCTACAGTATTACATGTCTGTAGTTTTATATTATTTACTTCTTTTATTTGTTAACCTTTATCTTATTTCATCATTTATGTATATAGAAGTGTAAATTGGTCTGTGATAAGCATGAATCAATCTCTATTTAAACCGTAAAACTATTTTTGTCTAGTTGGTTATACAATATAACACTACTACAGCAACGCATCAAAGTCTTAAGACTACATGATGAAAACCCCTACATATCAGAACTTTACATTATATACAAGACATAATAACATCTCAAATTACAACATTCTCCAATAAAAACTCACTTTAATCATGAAAAAATATATCTCAAAATTGAAATCAATTGGTCATTAGACCATAGAAACGATTCAATTGTCTTTAAATCATCAGAATCAATAAAACAGATCTATTAGCCTCAAATGCAAAACTTTTTTCACTTAAAATAAAATGCAAATCATTGATAATTAAAATGCAGGTTTTAAAAATACAAAGAATGAACTGGTGGTCTTATTTCAAAATTTCTCCTCTCAGTCAATTTTTTGTAATGTTTATATATAAGGTTAGTAAGATAGAATTTGTTTTCGGGAATATTAGAATTTTCAGCAATTTCTTAATTCATAAACTTCATATAACTGTAAATTTAATTGTATTTGATCCGACAATGTGAATCTGTGCCAGTTTTAAATCAAAGTGAAAACTTGGTTATATAATCACTATCATTAACACTCCAAAGTGAGAACATTTTCTAGCCCTTAGTGCATTCCCTAGTGGATTGAATAGTTGCATGATACAAATATATCATTATTAATATTATTATTATTTGAGTGATATAGGAATCACCTTTATGTTTCACGAAATCTAATTGATGGGCTTGTTCTTAATCCAATTAAATCTAACTGATCAGCTTGATCTTAATCCAATTAAATCCAAGCTGGGAGATAATCTAGTGTTGATATTTCGATTTTGTTTTCTTCATGAAATTTTAAATACAGGTAATCAATTCAGCCGAGAGAAAACTGATATTTTCCAAAATATGTAAATCACGCTTCGTTACTTTAAGGTTTAATTATTAGAAACATGTCATTTTATGATGGACAGGTAAATGCTCTACCTGATCAAGTATACTAATCTCAGTTCATCAGTCGCGACAGGCAAATATGTTTGAAATAAAAGCTAACACCGATACTAAATAATATGCTATAAAAAGTCTTGGTCTACGAAACATTATTTACAATTGGATGAAATAATAAATTAACCTAGTCTAGAAAACAGAAATCTTTAATTCTAACCTCAAAAAGAGATGCCTGTTTGATCGAGGCAAATCCAAGCAATCAGAATTCAAATGGATAGATGCCTGTAATCAGGTACTTTGATATACGAAGGGAGATAATTGACTGATTTCACACGTTTGAGTAACTTTTGAGATTCATTTTGAGATCATTAAGCAAAACTTGAAACAATTGAATACTTGCAACAAGTTCATAAATCATTTTAGCTATACTAAAAGCCCTCAATATTGACCAAATCTGTTGATCTTCGATGGAACAACAGAGAGGCTCTTTTAATACCAATCCCACCAAAATAAATTTTGAAATCACAAAATGAAACACCAAAACCTAGAAATTGCAAAGTGATATGGAATGAACATTTCAAAAGAAACTTGTCAATGCACTGTCTAAATATTATCTGAAGAAACTCAAGAAGCCCCTCTTCTTTTTTTCACCCTTTTCATCCGTTCGAGGACTTGGCGGAGACTCGTTTAAGCTGGTTGTTGAGAGCCTGTTCCCATCTTTACTTCCTGAACTTTCTTTTGAGCTTCTTTTATGAGATTTAGCCTCATCTTTCTTCTTTTTCTTCTCTTCTTTTTGACTAGACGATGATCTTTTGTCAACTTTCGGAGAACTAGTAGGATGAGTTCCTTCAGGTTCTACCACACTTGGAATTGTCTTGGCAAGAATTGGATCTGTTTTTGGGCGACGTTCGACAGTATCTTCTCCTAGAACATCATCAATATCATCAAAACTGTATTCTTCATTGGAAGTGGCTGGTGCTTCTTCACCTGGGACAGGATCAGTCTCTGGGTCAGATGCATCTAAATCTGTCGTCATGATAACCTTCTCTTTAGGAGCTGTGGCACCTATCACTTCATTTTCAGGAAACATTTCTTGGAAAGCTAAGGTTTCATCTGTTTTATCATCAGGAAGATTTTCTTTGGGAGATGAAGTTTCATTAGTTGGTTCTTCCTCAGATGAACTGATGTCATTAGTTTTTTGAAGATTGTCTTTTTCATCTTCTGTTTCGTGGACCCCTGAAGTGAGTTCAGGCTTCTTATCTTTATCTGATTTAGATTCTTCCTTCTGTTCAGCCTTTTTTGTTTTATTCTTTTTACTGGATTTAAGCTTCTGTAATTTTGCCAACATTTCTGCTGCTTGGTCCATTAGATCTAAATTTCTGGTCTCCTCTATAGCAGAATCATGTTTGTCAACATCATCAGACACTTCTGTTTTAGATCCTTTAGCTGATTCAGTTTCTTTAGCATCTCCAATGGACTGAAGTTGTTCAGAGGGTTTATTAAATTCCACTTCAGAACCATCACCTTTTCCTTGGTGAGACTCATCTACTGTGGAATCTTCTGCAGACTGGGTCTCCATTACGGCACAAGACAAGTCTTTCGTATTAATAGACTCATCTTGGTCTTTAGAATCTTCCAAAGGAAGGACTTTACTTGTTACATCAAAGCACTTTATTACCTCATCTCCAACTGGCTGTTTGGAAGACTCCACCACTGAATCCTTGTCAGATTCTGCATCCTCAAACTGTCCTGAAGACCCAGTGCACACGTCTCTCTCTGAATCTATGCTTGATTTTGAGTCGTCATATGGTTCAGAAGATTCTATTGAAGCTTCTTCTGGCTGAGTTAATTCAGTAATACTCATCACAATTTTACCATCTCTTTGTTGGTCATCAAAAGTCTCCTCTACCATATTTTTAGCAAGATCATCATCACCTTCATTTTTGTTTGACAGTTCTTCGGAGATTTGATCCCTTTCATGGACAGTTGGAGCATCATTTTCACCAGTGTGTCCACTGAGACTTTCTGAGGCAATTCCAACAACTGTTTGAATGATATTGGAAAGACCGCCTAGTGCTTTCTGACCAGCAGTTTTAATACCCACATCATCAGTGTCATTTGTATCTCTTAGTTTTGAAGTTTCATTTGTTGTCAAGGCATCTTCAGTAGAAGTCTCATCTAATGTCACATCCTCCAGTTTAACGGCCATTTTACCAGTGTTCTCTACAAATTCAACTGTCTTCTGAGATTCAAGTTGCTTTTCCTTAGATTCATCAGATTCTTGGACAGGTTCAACGGGTTTCTCCTGTAAGTTTAATTCACCTATCTTTTCCTCAATTTCAGCTGGCTTTTCCTCACTTTCAGTTGGCTTTTCTTCAATTTTAAGTGTCTTTTCCTCACTTCCAGCTGGCTTTTCTTCAATTTTAAGTGTCTTTTCCTCACTTCCAGCTGGCTTTTCTTCAATTTTAAGTGTCTTTTCCTCAGTTTCAGCTGGCTTTTCTTCAATTTCAACTGGCTTTTCCTCAATTTCAACTGGGTTTTCTTCGAGTTCAACTGGCTTTTCTTCGAGTTCAACTATTTTTTTCTCAGGCTCATCCAGCTTCTCCACTTGCACAACTTGCTTTTCTTGTGATTCAAATGTTTTATCCTTGTCATCAACTGTCAATTCACCCACTTCAACTGGTTTTTCCTCACCTGGATTTTTCTCAGATTTAACTTGTTCATCTTCAAATTTCTCCTGACATTCTTCAGATTCTACTAAATTATCATCTACTAAATCTACTTTATCAACACCTAAACTACCTTTCTCAACTTTACTGATATTCAAACAATCCTCAGCACCAACAACTGTACTAGAACCTGAACCTACAACTTTATCACCAACAACTGCTGCCCCCGATTCTAAATCAACTGATTTTTGTTTCTGTTTCCCACCCTTCCCCTTACGTTTCCCCTTTTTCCCCTTATTCTTCTCAGATTTAGTTTCACTATTTGATTCTGGTTTTTCTAATTTCGGCCCAATGGTCTCTGATTCAATTTCAGTTTTTTCCGATTTAGTTTCATAATTATCAATTTCAGTCCCAATTTCCCCAGATTTAGTCTCAGTTTGATCTATGCCGATTTCTTGTGATTTAGTTTCGTCAGTTTTACCAGATTTTGATTTATTTTTCTTTTTACCAGATTTTGTTTCTTTCACTGACTTATTTTCACTTTTGGTTTCTATTTGACTTGCATCAGTTGCTTCAGACTTACTTTCTTCCGACTTTGATTCAAGTTTTTGAGATTTTGATTTATTTTTCTTTTTGCCTGATTTAGTTTCACTTTTACCTGATTTAGTTTCACTTTTATCTGATTTAGTTTCACTTTTATCTGAATTAGTTTCACTTTTATCTGAATTAGTTTCATTTTGATCTGATTTAGTTTCATTTTGATCTGATTTAGTTTGACTTTCAACTGATTTAATTTGACCTGTATCTGAATTAATTTCACTTTTATCTGAATTAGTTTCACTTTTATTTTCCGTTGCACATGGCCCCGATTCAGTTTCAGTATTATCTGAAGTTTGAATCATTTCTGACGATGCTTCGCGATTTTCCACAGTACTTTCTTTTTTATTTCCCTTATTTTTGTTTTTCCTATTTTTCCCCTTTTTATTTTTAGGTTTAACTGACTCAGTTTCAATAATTCCCGTGGATGTTTTTTCATTGTCTTGGCAACTTTCAACAATGTTATCAGTGGTTTGATTATTTTCCGATTCTGATTGTGATTTTTTCTTTTTACGTCCACTTTTATTTGTTTCAACAAAAGAGCTAAAAAGATCTTCATCTAAAACTACAGAATTGTCCAACTTGGGTTGTGTTTCTTTCGTTTCTGTTGAAGTGACATTTTTGTCAGATTTAAGTGGGGACTCCGATACAACACTGGTCTGTACATTTTGTTCAACTTCGCTCTCAGTTAAGGCGCTCTCCACCTGGTCAGAATTCCCCTTGTTTTTACCTTGATCGGCCCCCAATTCAAATTGAGTGTCAGTGTTAAAAGGGGATTTCAAGGGTGTTGATGGAGCGTCAAAGAACTCATCTGGGTCACATTCAGAACCGGAATTAAATTTTTCACCAATGGAATTTGAAATTGAAATAGTTGGAACATCTGAAGAAATGCCAGAATCATCTCGAGGTAATGTGAAATTAGGAGAATTCAGATGATCCAAAGGGAAAACATTTTCTAAAGCATCAGTAACATCTTCTGAGTACTGATCCAACACCAAATCCCCTTCTGAATGTGACCCCTTATTATCGTTAGGTTCAACAGTGCTCTCCCTGCTTTCGGAGGGATCGCGGTACATAGTCAAATCATTAGTTTCATCATTATTAATATCGGTAGAAGAAGCTGACAATGGTTCGGAAAGAGGAGTTTTTATTTCTGCATTGTTTGTTTTAGAATGTTCCGACATTTTGCCGGTGTTGCTTTCAGTATTTGACATTTGCATAAATAATCGGCCATCAACTTCACAACCAGCTGTGTCCCTTTCTAAAGCTAACAACATAACTTTACCCTCTTTTGAGTTATCTTCCGAGATCACAGAATTTTCGCTTAATTTAATTTCCTCCTCTTTCCGTTTACAATCAGCTTCTTCAACATTCAAACTTTGTTCCATTAAATTATTCCCTTGAGATGTTGGTCTCTGGGGAGCATGCTCAGTGCTACTTGTATTATCATTAACATTTGTACCTAGCGAACCCTCTCCAGCTTTCTTTAAAATTTCTATTGTTTCTGCCGATAACAGGGCGGCTCCTGTGGAAATGGGACCTGCTGGAATTGATGACTGGTCTTTCTGTAAGGACATTTCACCGGATTCTGCAGTAATTATCACAAGACCATTTTCCTGGGGAAAAAAAATTAATAAATTCAATAGTGCAGAGATAGGTTGCCAGGCAACGAAACATTCACCCACAGCAGCTAAATCGTCAATGCAGTCGATAAGGGTTGTTGCATATTTATTTTTCATAGGAAATAGATACTGATTATCACCTTAATACAAATTTTTCTGTTGGAGCATTCACAAGTTTCTCCAAAGTACATATTTCTCTGTTTTATTAATTTCAATAATGTATATATATATATTTCATAGAGATCAGGTTTTAAAATGTTAGTCGACTATAAAAAGTCCTCCTAAATTTGATCAAACTCAAAATTGCTTCCCTAAAAAAAAAATCCTCAAAAAGTGTTAAGAGGATAGATTCACGTTCTTTAGCAATGTGAGTTCCACATGTGATCTGTATATTCCAGTTCAATTACTAAATGCCATTGAAACAATTTATGATAAATGTAGTCTTGTGAACAACGGACAGATGGATGTGGGCGTTGACAATAGAAGATCACACATCTCTATGTGGGGTATAAAACAAAAACAGTTGTGTGAATAAAAAAGAAGTTGTATCATTCTACAGACTAAATTCGATGAAACACCTCAGGTCAAACCTTGTACAATGTGTGGCATATGCCAGTCTTCATTAACCCTACTGGTTAATTAGGAGTAGGTGCATTCCTCTAGCACATGATCAGTGATGATGCGAAATGAAATGAAATGGAGTTTAACGTCCTACTGTTCTGCTCCGAACTGGGCTAATGAAGACGGGCATACGCCATACAGTGTGCTATGAGGGAAATTTTGCTCGGACAGTGACACTACGGCCTACTGTTATATCGAATTCCAACTGTCAAGGGATCTTTTATGTGCACGCCAATGTGTACACAGGACCTCGTTTTTTTGTCCCATCCGAACGACTAGACAGCTGTCCTTGTCAGGCACTTCGTCCTAAATCACTGACAAGGGGGGCCTACACCGGAAATTCTGGATGAACTTTCTCGGCCAATGCAGGGAACGAACACCCGACCTCCAGGCTAGTGAGTCAGCGTCTTAGCCACTTAGCCACCCACCCCCGTGATGATGCAACTGATACGTACACTATGTTTGAGTCAACCTCTAACATATGAAATTACCTTTAATAATTTATCCAGGTATTCCACCTGACTTTTCATTAAACTATGTTCAGCCGTTAATTCTTTTAAACTTCTCTTCTGCATTTCAAATTCCTGAAAAAATACAACAACATAATATTTAGTTATGTGTTAAATGCGAGGTAGAATAATTTTGCCCAGACAACCAAGTTTTCACCAACTCTTCTTCAATATCTAGCTGAAATGAGCATGACAATTTGCACACTGTTTTAGATCCCATGCGAAAACCTAGTCACATTTTACACTCTCAAACAGACAAAGAAGTTAATGCTTACACTACATTTATTTTTATATTCCCTCTGTAATTCTATATATCCCTCTTCATGTTCCTCAAACTGATCTTTTAATAATTCAACTTGATAAACTAACGACTGTTTCTCATTATCTAACTGGGCACTAGTAACCATGGCAGTTTTAAACTTCTCTTCCAGTTCACGTAACTCAGCCTGAAAAATATAATACAATATACATGTACCTATGATACAGGTGTCAGACTAACCCCAAATTGTCTGGATTACTTACTCTACATGTATCTACTATATCGCTATTCGTTACTGCTAATCATTGACCCAATACCTCAATCATTTTATAATTTTTTTATTTAAGGTAAAATGCTGGCTCGCTAGCCTGGAGGTCGGGTGTTTGATCCTGCATTGGCCAAGAAAGTTCATCCAAATTTTCAGGCGTGGTTCTCCCTTGTCAGTGATGCAGGACGGAGGGCCTGAAAAGGACAGCTGTCTAGTCATTCGGATGGCACGAAAAACACTTTGGCATGCACTAAAAGATCCCTTGACAGTTGGAATTTGATATAAGAGTAGGCCGTAGTACTGCTGTCCGGGCAAAATTTTCCTCATAGCACACTGTATGGCGTATGCCTGTCTTCATTAAACCCCATTTCATTTCATTTATTCTTTGGTTACATAAGAAAGTGAAGAAAAATTTGACCTTAGACAGAATATGCAGCAGGCAAAACAAACTTTAATAGAATTTTGTTCCGAATTAACAAACTTACCAACTGATCAATTTGTTTATTTAATTTCACATAAAAATCTTGCATAGAATATTTTGTACGCCACATATTTAATTCTATTTTATTTTGATTCACAATTTTTGTGTCAATTAACATATATCAACAGAAACCTCCAACTAATCCAGTCACAACTTTACAATAGAATTATTCCTGATATGAATTTTAATCTCTTATAATCCTAGTTCCACATTATGTCCAATGACTCAGTGATTGTCATAAATTTTACAAAATATTGTCTGTAACAAACACACTCTAGATATTTAACTATAAAAATGAAGTCCAACTCCGTAATAAGAGTATTTCTAGTTGGAGAAGTACTCAACCAATATTTTTATAGAACTAAAGAGGCAGTGACTACTGTAAAGGGATTAACTGATAATAACGCAGGAATATCTGTTCGGAGATAAGAAATTGAAAATTATCCAATTCATGTGACTGTAAAATATTTTAATAAAAGAAATAACAGTTTTAGCTTGAGATCTTAATGTATTGAAAATCCTTAGGTTTATTGTAGTTGTTTGACTGCAAATGTAAGAGACACTCTTTTATTATTTTTATAGTTTATGGAACAATGCTTTATGGAATAATGCTTTAAAATCTTAAATTTTGCCATTTCTATTCAATAGTGATAAAAAAATATAATAAATTCCAATATATAAATCAAATTTGTTTAAACTTGCGAAAATTTCACATTATACATGGAGAATTGTGTAAATCTGTGACAGTCTATTTAACTTTAGAATTTTGATTAATAATAAAGATATGTGAGTATTTATCATAACAAGTTTAATCAGAGTTAAAACTCCATCTTTAATCAGGACTAGAACAAGATAAACGTTTGAAACAGATGGTGTATATATCATATACTCAGTGGGGTATCTATATTATATCTATATCATATACTGTTATCTTGGTATGGTTTATAAATCTATATCTTTAGTTCACATCATCCTACTAATATACTATAACTAGCATAGTTACAAACTCACTTCAAAATATTCCTGGATAATTAAGAAAACTTCAATAAAACTTATTTCATTTCAATCAAGTTCATCTGACCTAATATTAGCATGGGTGAATGAATTGAGGTTTAAGGTCATATCAAAATAAAATCTATGCTAAAATACCATAAATGATGATTCAGCATGAAGACAAATGTAATATGAAATGGAAATTAACACTGTGCATCACCCAGGATAATAAAGACGGGCATACAGCATGTAGTGTGTACGAGGCAACACCATGTCCACTTATTCTTCATCCGCCACCCACCCAGTACCCGAGTGAACTTCAGTTTTCTATACCAGGATTTCTAACCTGCACCACTGACAAGACAGTATTTAGTCGAAGCTTGTAGCCGAATTATAAGAATGATTTGATTGTAGTATTTTATGATTTTTACCTTATAATTTCTATCTTTGGGATCTTTAGACGTATCACTCTCCGTGGAATCTCCGCTACCTCGCCTTGTGGAAACATTATCACGCGTCTGCTGGAATTAAATCAACGAATATTTGAGAATATTTCTATAGTTCAAGTGTTATAAACAAATCATTATGAATCTGATGAATGTCAACTGAGACTGAAATGGTATACTATTCAACACCACTTACATGTCAGTCTACAGGTGTTGGGGCCCAATTTACAACATTTCTGAATGTTCTAATTTGGCCACATTTTGAACTCCAGACATTCTAGGATCATCATCAATAAAAACCAACAGAGATATTATAAGCTTACCTTGGATGTGGCATTATTTGATGCTTGATTGGCTTCTCTCTCTTCAGCCTAAAATAGAAATTTACAATGATTAGTTTCATCCTTATCAATGACAACATCATCCTTCTAACAGGATTCATTATCAATGACAACAACATCCTTCTAACAGGATTCCTTATCAATGACAACATCATCCTTCTAACAGGATCCTTATCAATGACAACAACATCCTTCTAACAGGATCCTTATCAATGACAACAATATCCTTCTAACAGGATCCTTATCAATGACAACATCATCCTTCTAACAGGATCCTTATTAATGACAACTGACTATCGATTTCTCAGTTTGGTATTTTTAATGTCCAACAAGAATATCACAATTACACTAAATGACATGGGTTTAACATCCTACTGTCATCAGAATGAAGATGGGCGTACACCATGCAGTGTGGTATGAGAGAATATTTGCCTAGAGAGCAGCTCTTCGGTCTACTCTAACTTTGAATTCTAACAGTCAGATTATTATTTTATGTGCACACCACATGTGTACACACAGGACCTTGGTTTTCTGTCCCAACAAGAGGTTGTCCCTTGCCAGGCCCAAGACAAAAAATCGTGAGGATCTCTCCCAGGCAATACTTAGTGAGCCATTGGCTTACTCCATGAACCACTGTGGCATCCATCACAAATAAAATGAGAGGATTTATTTCACTTACCTCTTTTTGTTGTTTTTCTATTTCTTTTGTACGAATATTTCTGGCTTCAGCTCTGGCAGCTCGTTTAGCTGCCAACCTGGACTCAGCCTGAAAAACATGAATAAATAAATTTATAAATAAGAATAATTTCTATTGTGGACACTCTAGAGTCTGAAGCTTTTATCTGATTCACTTAAAACATATACACGATTGTTTATTGTCAGGAGACGACGATGATGCCTATTGATTGCGAGCAATTTCTGATAATTACTGCTAGCACTATAGTTATGACCCTTTTATCACTTTGAAGATGCTCTATTATTATTAACATTTAAATCAATAAATGGCACCACTCTCGATTACATATCTGATCTACTTGTCAAACCACAACACTCTCGAATTCTGCGTATCAAATGACAAAAACCTCCTTATCCTAATTAATCCTCCCCTTAAAAACTCCAAATCAAACCATATCTCTTCCTGTTACACATTGGAACCGAAGATCAATCATAAACTTTGCAAGTGCACTAGGTACTTTGTTATTATGGTCTTTGTGTGCGATATAAATTTCCGTATTATTATTATCAGAGATGAAGAAACCTGTTGATTTTCAGCAATTTCGGATAATTACTGCTCGAGTTATGGCCCTCAATTACTTTGAAAAATCCTGTGGATGATCCAGATGCCAGGAGAAATGATTATATATATATATATATCATAGATAAGCTAGCTCCTTATTCGCTGGGCCACTGTTATTGTTAAGGAGGAGGGCTGGGGAGGGGGGAGGCTAGGTTAACAGTAGGAATGATTATAATATATATATATATATATTATAGATGAGCACTTGGCCAGTGTTACTGTTAAGACCAGGAGGAATGATTATATATATTATAGATGAGTAAATGTGTTTATATACAATGTATATATGAGTCATCAGCAGTATTAAACACCTGACTACAGTTGATATATCACAGCTGGTTAACAACCTTCACTACCCACCACAAACCAGTGACAAATAAGACTTACAAACCAGGTTTCCTAGGATTGATCATATCCAGTTATACATGTATTAAGATTATTTGATGTTAACACTGTCATTGTGAAACATCTTATAACATATTGCACACTTTGTGACCTACATGGACTACATGTATCAAGGAAATTTAAACTTCATTACGGCCACTGTAGTCCTCGGTGTGTTGAATTCAACTTGTCTATCTTGTGAGTAACACTGTGACGGCACGCTTATCATACATGTAATTAAGATATGGATGTTGACCTATGGTGTATAGGTTTTCTCTGGTGAATCAAGGTGACAAATCTTAAGTCTCAGGTGAATCAAGGTGACAAATCCTATTCTCAGGTGTGACAAGGTGAAAAATCCTAGTCTAAGGTGTGACAAATCCTAGTCTCAGGTGAATCAAGGCGACAAATCCCATTCTCAGGTGTGACAAGGTGAAAAATCCTAGTCTCAGGTGTGACAAGGTGAAAATCCTAGTCTAAGGCGTGACAAATCCTAGTCTCAGATGAATCAAGGTGACAATTTTGCTTTAACTAGGGCATTGTAATATTTACAACTACCTGTAATCTTGAAGCACAAACATTGTTTTATTGATTAGATTTATGATTTATGATCACGTATTTAGATACTAATAATAACATACATGTACATATACCATGGTACTCGTACACTCAATACAATATTTTATTACAAGTATTTCAGCTCGCCAATCCTTATCATGTATTTTTAGAGGATATCTATTCTTCACAGCTTTTATTTATCCACGATCAAATGTACTCAAATTATTTAACATTTAATTGAGAAAACGAAACCAAACTATCACCATTCACCAGTTTATTAAAATGAGGCCTATCAAAATATTTTACCTCATCTAAAGTTGTACTGGCTTGATTATATCGAACTGATATTCATTATTATTATTACAGCATATTTATGGTGCGCCCTTTCATATAACATGTTCAGGGGCACTTTACAAAGTGACAAATGTAATCATAAATAAACAACAAGATTGTATACAGAGGCAGTTAAAAGCCTGATTAAATAAATGTGTTTTAAGTTGTTTTTTAAAAGAATATAGAGATGTACAAGTTGTACAACATATTGTAGTTCCCAATGAATACAAAATCCCCACCGTGATCAACAGCTTTAATGTTTAATGAAATTGTGGGGACATTTTGATAAATACAAGAAACAAGTGTTAACTGGCCAAATAAACCACTACTGGTACCTGTTTTTTTTTATGAAATACAACAGAAACCTTTTCCACGCTAAAACATTGACCATGACTAAATCTCCATGTCCAAGAAGCTGGATGTTAAACTCATCTCACTCTCCCATATCAGGATAATCTCAAGCCCTCTCTACACAAGCTACATGTAATGTTTGTTGTTTGTGTAGCAGGATAATCTCAAGCCCTCTCTACACAAGCTGATATAATGTTTGTGTTATTAAGAGTAATAAAATGTAGAAGATTTATGATGGTGTACTGGTACAAATGTAGATATGTCAAAGTAAACTCCTCTAACCCTGTTTGTATTTTAACACATCATAAACATATACACATATACATGTACCATACTCAATGTAATAAATATACACATGTACCATACTCAATGTAATAAATATACACATATACTGTACTCAATGTAATAAATGTCATCCCATCAAAACAATACTTTGATCATTCTGAGACTACATGTACATCCAAATAACTAATCAATAATTCATTTGTCAGTTCTGGAAGAGCTACGGCTGATAGTGGGAACCACAACCAAGGCAGCTATAATCTAGAGATTCTTCTTGGATTTTAAACATGGGCATCCTTGACAACGACCCAGTTCCTTTAAATTTATTGTTTGACTCCCATGCCCCAAACCAACACACACATCCTAAATCTTGGGGCAGTATATAACAGGACTATTATTAACCTTTATTGAGAAGACTACATGTACATATTATATGTGAATGGGTTTTATTGAGTAAAATACAGCTAGTTATAAATAGCGTGGAGAAGTTACACTTTCTATTAATAACATGATATAATTAGAAATCTGGCATCATCATAGATGTTACTATTAGAGATATATTGTATCCTAGATCAGAGTACAATACAACATGTTAAACGTCCTAAATAAATGATAAGTGATATCAGGTGTTCTAGAAATAATAAGCATAGCCTGTCCTATACACAAATATGTTCTCTTATTTCCTATGAAGACATTTACCGTGTCTATATCTTGGAAGGTCGTTGGAATGAAGAAGTTTCTAAAATAAATGTTAATTATAACATTAGAATTATTACTGTTTCTTCCAGGTTTGAAAAGAAAATTGATGGCACCTGGAAAAGAAAAACACTGTGGCAGCATCAATCTCTGGATTCCATCACTATTGGTGTGCTGCAACCAGAGACGAAGATGATTCGACACAGTTGCTTTGTCAATCACAACTACATGTAGAAGTACCACCACGCAACCATTTTGTTTCGTAAAAGCCGACAATTGATTATCCCTTGACCTCATAGATGTTCGTAGCGCCGTTGATAATAATTTTACACCCATCTTGTTGTCTTTATAGAAAGCGAATTAATGTACAGGTTTACTGTTGGCTTACTCCAATTTATTCTGATCAAAAGAACACAGGGAATATGGCTACAGCGACTGTCTTTGTTATGGTATTATAAAACAAATTCTAAATTGGATCTTAAATTAAAATAAATTATAAAACATATTATTCCATAGTGAATTGTTTTATTTAATTAGGCGTTAATGAATACACATCCCAGCTGTATTTAACTAATTAATGCATTAACTTTTTGAATAATATGCATTCGGTCACTTTGACATCACTAAAATCTGAAAGGATTGAGATTGCTTTTGATAATTGGCAAAGTCGTTCTTTCTGGAGGTCTATATTTGCGACTTTGAGTGAAGACGGCCGATTACATTTTAATCAGAATGGTGTGAACTTGCCGTAAAGTGCATATAATAACCACTGGCTACAAGTACAGAAAATTTTGTCTGGTGATCTTATGTGCTCTTTAAGGCAAGTAGAAACACATGTAAACATGAAAACAAGCCCATGATATGTGACTGTAGTCTTTGCTAACATTTACACAAAATTTACTTCTAGAATTTTAAATATTGGTTTAATATTTTCCTTCTTGTGTCATTAGGTCATGTTACACACTTTATAAAAACTGTCTTGAATAAAATATTAAGACTATTTAAATTATCTCTTTACTCTCCTTGACCCAATGTAAAATTTGAATACTTGTGTTCATTTGGACTAATAATTATATCCTTATCACAGTACTCACATATTGTTGTGCGTCTACATGTAGCAATATTCTCACTTGTCCTCCCATTTTGCATAGAAAGAATCGAGGAAAGAGTGTTTGAATTTCCATTTATTGCCACAATACAATTTTTAATGCATGTGTCTATTTCAGACAAACATACAATGTATGTCAATTATTTCTAGGGCAAATAGATGCACATTTGGGATTAAAAGGAGCAAATTTAGCGGGGAGGTTATCAGAGATTAAACTGCTGCTTGTACAAATGGCTATCGAAATCTGTAGCGCAAGCCACATGCCTTTAGTCACTAGGGGATTGTCTGTGTGTTTATGATGAATTATTTAACTGTATTGTGTGTGGAACCCCCTTGTTAATCAATAGTAGTATGTATAATGAATGAATTGAGTAATATATTGTAATACATTAACCAGACAGATGTATTATATGTCCAGATGTTTAATACCACAACTATCAAACTATTTATATCTTCTAGCTTACACCAGGTGATAAACAGTACACTTTACCTACAATTTAATACATGACAAATGAAATGGGGTATAACGTCCTGCTGTTCTGTCCTGCGAACTGGGCTAATGAATATGGGCATACGCCATACAGTGAGCGATGAGGGAAATTTTGCCCGGACAGCGGCACTATGGCCTACTCTTATATCGAATTCCAACTGTCAAGGGATCTCTTAAGTGCACGCCAATGTGTACACAGGACCTCGGTTTTTCTTCCCATCCGAACGACTAGACAGCTGTCCTTGTCAGGCCCTCCATCCTCCATCA